GAAGAAAAAGAAGACTAAGAAGAAAAAGAAGACTAAGAAGAAAAAGAAGACTAAGAAGAAAAAGAAGAAGAAGCAGAAGCAGAAGAAGAAGCAGAAGCAGAAGAAGAAGAAGAAGCAGAAGACGAAGGAGCAGAAGAAGAAGCAGAAGAAGAAGAAGAAGCAGCAGAAGAAGAAGCAGCAGAAGAAGCAGAAGCATAAGAAATAATATGGAAGGTCAGTCTGAGACTGATATAAAATTAATTGAAAAAAGCAGTGATGGTATGACAGAAGAAGTGGATAAGTGGAGAAAGAGCTTGTACTTGGATTGCAGCTCATCATTGTCCTGCTGCAGCTGGGAGAGTTCGCACTTGACGCTCTTCTCCCCAGAGAGTAGAGAGCTGATCTGCGAGCGCAGGTCCTGCTCCACTTGTCGCGACGCCTGCAGATCCACCTTCAGGCGCTTCACGTCGGCCTCTAGCCTGCAACAAGACAAAACATACTGTAGTGCACCTAAGGCATTCTGACAGACAGAAGTTTTACTTTGGTTTTGAAATTCTGAGGATCACTTCATTGTATATATTGATGGTCAGAATATAAATTTTAACTAGATGTCAGATGATGTTAGAATAAATATATTTTGATTCACAACATGCCCGAGACTTATTCACAGAGGGGGGGAGGGGGGGAAAGAAAACAAACAAACTGTTTTACTGTTTTCAAAAGAGGGTCAGGCAGTGCTGTAAAATGTTTTCTTTTAAAATTCGAATCAAAATAAATTAGTGGCATAGATTTTTTTTTGGCACTAGTGTTTTCAAATCTCTTGTCTGGGATGGTTTTTATATTTTTTATTTTATTTTATTTACTTATTCACGCCAATCGGCTTCGTACATATAGGTAACAATTTATATACCACACTGCACAATCACATCCAATACACTATAACAATTTCTAAATACAACCAATCGATGCATATAATTAAATTGAATTGAGATTACAAACCGTAAGTATCACATCATATCGTTGTGTTTACAATCTTCATAAGAAATATTTTAAACATAACACATTATCTGTTGTGTATAATTTTCTTTATCTGTATCGAGAATGATGAAGTGGATCCCCCAAAGAAGTTTATGCTGGAACAATATTCATTTACTAGGTTCACTATTCTATTTTTCGGACCATAATATACATAATTTTTAGTAGTCTTAATTGAATTCAGTAATCTATACGATCTCAAGCCAGGTTTTCAATAGACAAATTCAAATTGTTTTAATATTTCTTGGCATTCAATTTTGCAATTAATGATCTGAAAATAATATATAAGATCTGCAATTTGTCTCCGCTTGGAAAGTGAGTGTATTTCAAATTGATCATAGACTTCATCGGTGTTCATGTCATGACCTCTGATGCCCATATAGTACTTGACGTATTTACAGAACTTCTTTTGAATATTTTCGATTCGATCCACAAGAATGTCGGTGCATGGTGACCAGATTGTTGAGCAATATTTCATTATTGGATGGACCAAAGCAAAATATACGTATATTAACATATAGACATTGTTAAATTCCCTTCCAGATCTGAGTATAAAACCCAGCATCTTGTATGCTTTGAATTTCATCTTGTCCACATGATTCGAGAACTTCAATTTATTGTCGATAATGACGCCCAAGTCCTTTACGGATTCGACTTCCTCGAGGTGGTGTCCACTACTGGTTTATCAACGTTCAGTTTTAGCCTATTCCTCAAACACCAACTGCTAAGTTCCTCAATATCTTGCTGAAGAATGCGCATATCATTATAATCAGTAATTTTTCTAAATATTTTCAAATCATCTGCATAAAGTAAATAATCTGATCGGAATTTATCGCCAATATCGTTGATGGACATATTGAACAGGATCGGTCCGAGGTGTGATCCTTGTGGGACGCCTGAGGTTGCTTTATATTCAGGTGAAATCTGGCCATTTACCCGTACTTGAAGAAATCTTCCTGTCAGATATGAATGAAACCAGTCCAGTGCTTTGCCCCTTACTCCATATCGATTAAGTTTATTACATAATATTTCGTAGTTTACCATATTGAAGGATTTGCTGAAATCCGTATATACCACATGTACATCTTTACCTTGATTCATCTGATCCAGGACGTAGTTGACATATAAATGAAGATTTGTTGTGCTATTGCCCTGCCTTTGTCCCAACTCCTACCTATCCGCACCAAAAAGACGTTTCAATTTTTTGAAGAAGAATTGAAATAGGACTTGAAAAATGTTATAAAAGAGTAAAATCCTAGTTATATATGCTCATTTTCATTTAACACTTTAGAGCATATTTTGAGAAAATGTATTTGGAGTTTATGAAAATGCAGAATTATATACTTATTGATTAGGAAAAGAAAAATCCAAGCACTTTAAAAATTCTGCTTCCACTTTGTGAACTGACTTTTAAAATAGAAACTATTCTAGATATGTTATACACCTTAAAAAGCGAGTATAGCAGGAATTTTAATAAAGCCTCTCGCTTTCACAACTCATACAAAGCTATTTTTAACGTGTCCTCTACTTAATTGTGGTTATAATTGATCTTCTTATGGTATTACAATCTCTAATGTTTATTAAGATCAAGGGGGATAATGATAATTGTAAATTTTGTTTGGTTAAAGATCTGACATCAATAATGAGATGTGAGAACTGAGAAACAATGGTGGTGACCTTTCTTATGTTTAATTTGGTAATGTGAAACAATATATTTTATACAACATCTAAACATTTATTCTTTGTTCACTGAAGATTCACTTGGGTACAGCAATATGGGCCACCACAAATATTTGAGAATTTCTTCAGAAAATATTATCTTGTGTTGCATATATATTAAAATGCATGTAGAGAGAAACTAAGGCAAATATAAAAAAAAGTAAATTTGAGAGATACACTAATAAAAAAAACTTAATGAATTATCAATACTGTATTTCAGATCATCTTTTTGAAATCGTTGATTGCAGTTCAGATCATGGTGTTATTATCAATTTGCAAATGATTTTCAGCCATCACAAAAATTACATAATTTATTTATTCATTGCACAAAGCCCATTGGGATAATTCATTTATTGCCTGATCTTTTAATTACATTATATTAATTAAATTTAAAAAAAATGAACAATGCACAAAAATATCAATATATAAGCCTTCTTTTTGAAATAATAAAATCTGATATCAAAAGGCAATATGTGTCACAACTTACCTAATAGAGTATTCTTCCTTGTGGTTGTGAGATGTTGCTGCAGCAGCATGGTTCTCTGCTGTGTTCTCACGATTCGCTTTGTTTTTGCGCTCCCTCTGGGCATTACTGCTGTTGCTATTATTATTACTATTATTGTTAGCACTGGAACTGTTGTTATTGTGATTGTTGTGATTATGGTTGTTGTTATTATTATTGTTGTTGTTGTTGTTGTTGTTGCTACTGCTGTTGCTGCTCTCAGAGCTGTTGCGTGCCTGGTTGCCGTTGCCCCACTTGCCGCTGGGGGCTCCTGCACCAGCATTGCCCTTGGAGTGGCCCAAAGGAGCCACACTGCCCTTCGAGCTCTTGTCCTGCAAGATACGCACAATGCAACTTATCACAACAAGCTGTATCAGATAGTACTGGACCCTTACACCCAACAGATCTTAAGAAATAAATACAGTAAAACCCCTCTTTTACACTTTTTATGGGACCCTAGAACAATGGTGTAAATTATTGGAAGTGTAAATAGGGGAAATTATTTTTTTCTTTGAAACTATGACTACAGTATTATAACATGCTTTATTATGTATTATTAGATAATAAACGATATTACAAGATCAAATACAAATCTGATATCAGAAACCAGAGGAAATTAACAACATCAGAAATCGAAGCCTTATTAACCAATGCACAGTGAATTTTAAATGTCGCAATGACACTTCCACGAGTCCCAATCTTCCACTGAACAGAGTCTTTGATGATGCAACAATGCACTATTAATGGATGATAGGAGAAGTGGTATTTCTACCATAAGAAAAAAAAAAGTTAATGTTCTCAAAAATGTATAATTTGTTGGTTTTTTATAGTTGGTAATGATTTAATGAAAAATATTTTCAATTTATTTATATGTGAAATAATAAGAGTATAATAGAAAGAGATAATATACTTAAAATGACACTATATTATATGCAATGATCCTGTAATGTTTATTTGTCCCGGTATAAAGAGGGTGCAATCTCAAATGTTTGGAAATATACTTTAATTGTAATCTGAAACGGAAACACTATATCCCAAATTACTAACAAGTTACGACGTTTGATTTATATCTTCTATTAATTGCAATTTTGATTTTGATGAAAAACAGTTTATTATGATATACTACACATAGTTTTGGCCAATTGCTACATACGGAATAATAACATAGGGAGGCGTCTACGATACTACTTTGAACTCATAGGATTGATGTTCGGAAAAGAATCCTTAAGTAGATTTTTATGAAAAACATATTCATCTGATAAGCTTTTAAAAAACTATAAAACGTTACCAATTAGGAAATTCTTTTTGGAAAAATGTTTTCTGATTGATCTGTCTGTACTTTGGCATAAATATAATTATTTGCAAGATAAGAGAGTGGCACTAATAGAACCATGCACTGTTAAAAAAGAAATCGGTAGACAAAATCAGGTTTATGTCAGTTACAGGGTACAGTAACTTACTGAATGATGAAATCAAAATTAAGAACCATAATTCAAATATCAAGAATAAAAAATAGGGAATTATTGATAAATCTTATTGAGGATGCCCTTATGTCAATTTTTACATCCTTAATTTTTATATCACTTATTCTGTCATTATTATATTTCATTTATTTTATTCCATTGAGTATATAATAAGCACCAAATTATTTTGTAATTTGTAATGTCCGTATAAGTTATAACAGGAATTGGATGTATTTCCTCAGCGGATATCTGTAAAATCATTTGTATACAAGTCTGTTTAATAAATTTAATTGAATATTAGAAAGAGGGTTCATGAAACCAATTTACTGTTAAAAACATACAGAATTCCATACTTTGATGTTAGAGCTTTCAAAGAATGAAAAAAAGAAAAAGAAAACAATTGTTTTAGAACGAGAAAATGTGAAATGTAAAATAAACAAATGATTGTGAGGCTACCTCACACAGGCCTGTACCACATAGGCGTGTTCAATGCCTGCGCACATATCGCATACCTGCGTCATACATTACCACTATCTTATGCAAACGTCACAAGAGTGCTCTTGGCGACGTGCTTCGTGCCCACTGCTGAAGCAAGATGCTCAAGCTACCACGTACGTCCAGATGACGTGCATTTTCTAGCTTTCAATGCATCACCAGTGTTGGCAACAACGCATGTCACCAAGAGCTCTTGTGTGTCGTTTCATGTAAGACACTGTTAATCTACCAAGCGTGTGAAGTGACTTGTGTGCGCAGGCATCGACACAACTGGCGTTGTGAGCGTTAGATGATGCACATCAACTCAAACCAACGCTCGTGTGGCATAGATCTTATATTCTTCTACCAATGTACATTAGTAATTTTTTCCACCTTTTTAAATACCTCTGTAATGTCATGAAATGAAAATTTGCATAGGCATAGCTCCTCAATAATGATTTTCATTATATTTCAATCTTCTTGTCTTCATGTAACATTCCTTAAATCTTTATAATATTGCACCATTTCAAAACCCTTTCTGATATAGACATTTTCAATGCGGCAAGATGGTGGGAAAGGGTAGGGCCAGTGCCTGTTGTGCGCTATTCCAAGTGCTCTCCGGATGGTGTTGTGGCAAGCAGACTGTTGTAAATTGCAGGGAAATTGAAATTATACAATAATATAATTTCAATTTATAACATGATGAAAATACAAAACTGGTGGGATCACCAAGAAATGTAAACGCCAGGAAAACGTAAATTGCAGGGACGTAAAATTGGGGGTTTACTGTAATAATAAATAAAATAATTTTGTCAGATATAAAATAACTTTTCATCACAAATTTTGCAATAAAATTGCTTATAGTTCTGAATCCTGTTAATAACAAACAATGAAATTTAGTAGGCATGATTTATAAGTATCTAAGAGTATTTTGGTTTTTGAAAATTGAAAAAAGATTTTTACCCATTTATGTCCTTAGTGACCTTGGAAAAATTTATGTTGTGCAACTTTTCTGTAGCTTCATATTAGCAGATAGTGATTAAAAAATTCGAGACTTGACTTTAGGTATTCAGTGTAAGCATGGAATTTTTTAAAGCAACAAAACCGGAAAATTTATTAAAATCGTTGAAAATTGAATTATTTTTAGATTAAAAAAATCCAAAAACATATTTTTCTTGTTTTTATTTCACGCTGAATTCGAAAATATAATTGCTTTCATGATTTCCGATCCTTCAATATTTGTTGGCTGTATTGACAAAGAATGTCCAAACAGTAACCAAAGTCACTGCACGCACTTTGTGCCATGACTGGTAATGAAGACTTAAGTCAATGGCATATTGCTGTGTCCCTGGTGACTATAGTAACCTTTATTTACGTGCTATTAGACTGTATTAATTTTTGGATCTGGCAATGACTGCTCACAAGTACTCAATTGTAGTATATGCCCTTATTTTGTTTTATTTCAGTTCAGTTGCTAGATGAGACTGAATAAATGTGCTTCTCTATGCTCCACAGTTCGAATGACTTGTGTATTTTTTGTACACCTTGTGTTTATTCTTCAGTTGCTTTTTATTATTTTCTGTAATTGTTTTTCGCAGAAATGAAATTTGCCCTTCAACTCAACAACTGTTTGCTACATCTTCTTATATCACTCATGTCATGGAATTAAAGAAAATGTGCAATGAATACACTTCTCCCCATAGTATGACAGTTTTTAAACCTGCTTTTGACATTAATTAGTTTTTAACAATCTCATTGTTTCTCTTTCAAGTTTTTTTTTGGTTTTTTTTTTTTGTTTCTTTCTTTCAGTACATCTTAGTCACTTTCAATGATTAAATAAAGTCTGCTCTCTTATCAACACATTTGTATTGAAATTGTGTTTAAATTTCTAATGTAAATGTAATTAAAGACCGTGCTACCACCTTTTTTCTCAATACAGATGAAATGTCAGGTTTTCAAGTGCTAATTCTTGCGCAAGAACTCATAAATGGAAATAATGGGGTGCATTCACATTATCGTCATCAAACAGAAATTCCTCAGGAGCACCTCACCTTCTCGACCTCATTGATGTCGAAGTCGTTGACAGAGCCCCCACCGCGCCGACCGCTGGTGGGAACTGAATTAGGAGCCGGAGTGGCCCGCCCATTTGCCGTGACTGTTGGTCCGGCTGTGGCGTTTGTGTGGTTGGCCCCACCTCCACTGTGCGTGTGGCCGCTCGAAGCCTTGGGCTTCACCACCACTGCCAAAAGTGCGTCTTGCACCTTCCGCCTACACCAAAAAACATCACGATATAAGAAACATTTATATTGTCAAATAAGGGAGTAAAAGCGAGACATTTCAAAAACATTTCAACTTCAATTACACAAAAACTGCAGCATATTTTTCCTTCAAAAATCTTCAGTTCACTTGTTCACTTCAATGAGTTCGCTCTTTTACACTACTTTGAAAGTCTAATTCCGAATAAATATTGAGCTAATACTGATCTTCTAGAACATATCAATTTTGCAGTAATCAAAAGTAAAGTATCACATTAACTGAAATATTCTCAAAAGACTGAGTCTTATAACATTTCATGAAAAGCTAGTAAATTATGAGAAAAATATTTATTTATAGAAATAGAAGCTAATGAACTCAATGTTAAATAAAGCTGTGATTTGCATCATCATGGGAACAAATTTTACATCTTGTGTTCAATGGTGGAAATAGTGTGGGACTGAATTTTTAGAAGAATCATTTGTCATTATCAATAATGATGTATTTACTAGGATTGTGAGTTTTATTTACTCTTTTTATAGACATTTTTTAGAAAATATTAATTTATTTGTTTTAGTAGTTACTATATTTTAGTTGTGTTACTTTTGGATTTGTGGTTTTTAAGATTTCTAGTATAGCATTACATTCCGAAATGTAGGTAACAGCATGTTTTATCTCCAGGACTTAGTGTAGAACTTTCATACATCAAGTAAAAGCATTCAAAAAGTAAACAACACAGCATTTCTTTTTTAATCATTCCATAGATTCTTGTTAAAAAGAGGATTTGTAGAATTTCCTCAACATACACAATGCCTAGTGCACTCACCACTGCGTGGAAGATTTATATGTAAATACAATCCAAAGATTTCATAAATTTCGTGTCTTATGGTAAGTTACTAAATCTTAGCAAAGCAATATTTTCCTTTCAACCTTATTTTCTTTTGAATAATATTTCTTAACTGATGAGCAACTTCATTTCTTTCTTGTAAGGCAATAAAAAAAAGTTGTGCTATGGAGGATCTACATATACTTAGGCTGCCACAATCATAATGGCCATGAGACTCGCTTTCAGATTTTAGTTTTGTTCTCACAACATATAATAAACTAAATTACTGAAACTGTTTTATAACATTATTCTGGCTTAATTTAGTATCCCTAAATACTTGGAAATTTCGAAAACCCATAAACTTTATATTAGTCTATGACAGTGCATTCCCCAGCATCCATCCATATCCTCTCTCTTTTTTGCTGTGCTTCATCTCTTCTCTCACAAAAGAGTGTCATGTAATGGGGGGGGGGGGGCTGGGAGCGTCGATTCAGCACGATTTGTACTACAAGAAATCAACAAAACTAGTTTGTTTATGTTAGTTTCCTTTGAAGTAGGAGGAAAAGGAAACTAACATAAACAAACTAGTGTTGTTGATTGCTGTTTGCTAACCTAAAAACCACAGTTTGAATCCCAGCTGGTCAAATTTTTTGCTAACTTTGAAGCACAAACAAAAATAATAAGATTCCCGAGTTTTACAACAAGGAAGAAGAAAATGATGTTGAGCACTGAGCAGTCAGTTGAGCATGTCCTTTCTATGAACTCTAGTGCTTTTATTTAAAACTAGTTGTAAAACACTTCACAGCAGCGAATTATAAACTATTTGTAGTTGAACTACAAATTCCTTTTCAGATATTATAAATGGTTCAAAAGATAAGATTCTGGACCAAAAAGAACAGGTTCTATAAGGTGGGATTTTCTTAGGTTTAAAATGCATTGTTTATATGAAGATATTTTAGCAGCTCCTCGTTTTTATTTTATTAGCTTTTATTAATTTTATTAAATGAGTTCTATTTTATCTCGATGAAAGCATTAATGTAAAAAAGTATTAGCAGTTAAATTCTACTACTTTCATTATTCTCAGGTAGGATTTCTTGAGCATTTCAAACTATTTGAAGAAAATACTGAATAAAAAAAAGCTAGGTACTTGTTATAAATTTGTCAACTCTGTGATTTTGGCAAGCCAAAGATAAATTTAACAATAGACCTATTGGCTTAACGAATAAAAATTGTACCAACAAATAACACTGAATTTTTAAAGGAATTTAATTAATTTTACTATCATCTCAAAAATGTTCCTGGCTTTTAGAGATTCAACAAATTCCCTCATTTTCTTCCCAACATTTTCAGATCAATAAAATTCCATATCTTTTCTTGTTCTTCCACAGAGTGGCCTCTAGTTTATTGAGCGTGAATGCTAAATGTGTCCACAACGGTAAAGATAGATTGAATGCTAGCCCCTTTACAAAAAACATGAGAAATCCAAAATAGAATTCAAGGAATGCCTTGTAGCAGAGTACCAAAGCATCATGTAAAATGTGTGTTTCCGGGGAGGTGAGGTGAATGGATTAATTGCATTCTCGATATTTATAATGGGGAAATATTGATCAGTTTTTTCTAGCTTTGGTTTTTGACAGATTTTTTCAAACATTTTTTTAATAAAAACAAAGGTTTCACTGTATTGAGAGTGAGAAAGAGAGAATGAGAAAAAAGATATATATATATATATAGAGAGAGAGAGGGGGAGAAAGAGTGAGTGAGGGAACGAGAGAGGGAAAAAGATACCTCTCCATTGGATAAGTGGAAAAAACACATCAACAGGGATATGCACTCACCCAACCCTCTCGATAAACTCCAACTCTGTGTGGATGCTGCCATTGCTGTGCGCATATTTGGCAGCTTTCTCTGAGGAACTCTTTGAGTCTGTCTCTGCTGGGGTACATTTCTCACGTTCCCCTTTATCGAGAGACTTTCTGTGGTTATTTTTAGTCACTGATGACTGCTGTGTGGTTGCACCACTATGCACTGCAGCACCGTTGGATGTTGCAGAGTCGTTTGTTGAAACACCTCCTGAAACAAAAAGAAAGGGGTTTTATTAGGGTATTACAACAGATGCAAGTTTAACTGAACTTAAATTATGAGTATAGAAAAATTTGAATCAAAGATTAAAATGTAATAAGTTCTGCTAAAACCACCAAGCATTATTAATCATGAAATTAAAGTTTCAAAGAATTTTGTTTCATGCGATTATTATATTTGATAGGTACTGGATGTGGGCAAATAATAAAGTACGACCATATTAGAAACAATAGCTATTGAGTGTAATTGTAAAGAAAAATGTAAGAGATGATAACATACGTGCTATTTGTTTATTTATTTAACAGACTAATCCATATATACATAAATTAAACAATAATTATTTTCCAAAATATTACAATAATCAAATATATTGACCATACACGAGTGTCATGTCTCCTTATACTGACAAAGCTTACCTACGGTCTTAATTTAAACAATAAAACATGAAACAAGTGTATATGAAACTTATACACTAGTTTTTTTGTTTCATAACAAAGTGTGGAGTATTTTGACCTCACATATTTATAACAATTTTTTTTTTGTTTTTATACAATACAATAAACATACTATTGAGGGGTCTTATATTTTCACATCAGTCATTTACTGTATTGTATTCACAGATTTCTACATTTGCTTGTTGCATTTTCCATGTAATTGACCTTTTTAAGTTTAACGAAAATCTTTGTCAAAGGAAATGGTTGATTATCGTCAAGAGCTAGAATCCCATGTTGGCTGACAGTTGAATGTCTTCACAGTCCCCCCAAATATTCATAGTGATAAAGATGAAGATAGTGGAGGATGAGGATGGGGATAGCGAGGAACATTGAACAATTTGAATACCCCTTGATTCAGAATTGGTAATACGAAACAATTTATTATGCCTTTTGGTACTGGTCATATTTAAGCTGCAAGTAATGATCACTTGCACATTTTGGAGGGTGATGGGTTAACTTACTGGCCTCTGAATCACCAGAGTTCAGGTTCGATCCCGGCTGAGGTGCTTGGGTTTGTTTGTGTGTGAGTGTTTGTTAGTCAGTGTTTGTTTGTTTGTCCAAGACGTTCTAAGGAAAATCTAGAAGTGATGTCGAACAGAGTAGACATGCCTGTGAGTGAATTAATTTAGAGGGCAAAAAGATATGAAATGGATGTTGCTGCTTTTGGAAAGGGAGAATAAATGGGATGAATACCTTGATTTTAATTTTTAATATTAAAAGGAAGAACAATATTTGACATTCACAAAATGAAATCGTTAAAGGAAATAGATCTCCTGGCTGGGAATAAATATCAAATTTATGGAAAGATTAAAAAAAGAGCTCAAGTACTTGTATGTTAAGGTTTTTAAATTTGTAACTTTTTTTTTCATTGAATTTCTAAAGAATATATTTATTTGTGATTTACAAATCAAAACCTTAATTTTTGTAAACAACTGCACTCACACAATCCATTTCTTTGGGAAGAAATGATAATCAATTCAACTTCATTAAGTTGTGTAAGTATTTGTTTGTTTATGTAGAAGGTACTCCTGGTAAATTATGGATTAGATAAATGTATAATACATATATAATTACACTTTGTAGTGCAATTACTTTCTAAGTTTCACACCAATATTAGAGCCTATAGGGATATTCTGCCAGCTTACCCACTGTAAATACTTTTCCCCATGTTTGAAATTTTTGATGTGGTGGTCATTCAGTGTGCTACAATTGTGGTTAGGTCTTGTACAACCAAATCATAATAAAATATCATAATCATCATCATTATTATTATCATTATTATTATTATTGCAATATTATTACTCTGTTACCAAAGTGAAACAGCTTACCTCTACTCTTTTCTGGGCTTGTGTTGTGGCAGGTCTGTGGCTGCTGCTGTGGCTGTTGCTGCTCCAAAGGTAGCGCTTGTTGCAGTAACTGCATGTAAAACTCGTTCTCTTTCGCTACATCTTTCTGCTTGCGCTGAAACAACATGACACACCACATTTCACTACTACTGTACAAACAATGTAGTTAACAACTGCACACTGCTTCACGGGGAGGAGTTTTTAAAAGGAATACCCATGAGAACATCGAACCTTTCCATTAAGAACTCGACAATCAAGTTATATTACTTAATACAACAGGAAAGATAGGGAAAATACGAAACACAACATCTTAACAGTCCACCTCAAGGACCATACCCACAAGGAGTAATGATTTGGCCGCTGTTCTTCTGAAACCATTTTCATCAATAGAAAAATAAGTAGCTTACTTTATGTTAATTTGATTTGTATAATTAAGGAAAAGAACTTTGAACGAACTATAATTGTTCACAATTGCAGAATAAAGTAAGGTTACAAGAATTTGTCTGTCAAAAACTACGAACCCTAACCCTTCACAAAATTGTAATTAATTAAGACAGACTAAAAGGTGGAAATGAAAAACTTGCTTTGCTATTAAAGAAAAAGCATAACATGTCACTCCTAGGCTATTACAAACATAATTATAGTATGTTCACATACTCAAGTTCTGTTGACTGATTTAACTTTGGGAGACTAACACTTTTGGTTCACTATATCCAATGGTGACAAAAATAAATAGAATATCTCCACAATTAAATAGAATTCCCCTCAATTATTAATATAGAGATACAGCAAAATATATTAACAGCATGATCTGACTGTTTGACCTTGAAAAAATAGATTTTCAATTGTTTACTTTGTACATAACTCGTCAAGAGAAATTATTAATCCTCCAGAATTAATGCTCTCTTCCCTTGCTTCTGCATTGACCAGTCTCCAAGTATCATAACGCAGTCCTAACACCCTTCAATGCCTCTTGCACTGTTTGAACACCATCCCAATCTCTCAACGTCCTTTAACACACGCCTAATAGCATATAAGATCCTTTCAGTAGTGGAATGGAGAGGTGTGCATAATGGCATAGTGGTTCCCGTGTGGTGTGGCGGGTGTAGCCAGGCTGTGGCATGCTTCCTAACACCACGTGCATTTTCCCATGGAATCTCAAGTAACAACAAGCTTGAAACTGAAACAGCATCATCATCACCACCACCATGTAGGATGTAGCCTTTGATTCTACAGTGAAATTGAGTGGCATAAGGTCATCAGTAAGGTCCCTTACCCCTTACCTCAAGGGAGACTTCTTCAATCACGGCCTTTGGCAGACAATATTTTTTCCGAACTGTGTAGTGTTGGAATTTGTGGCACTGAGGCGATTTTTTTTCCAGGAAGGAATTCATTTCAAAGATGATGTACTTCCTACTCACTATAGCCAAGGTTCACAGTTTACTATATACAAATCTTCTTTTGCTTATTTGCAACGTAAGTGAAAGGCGACAAGTAACTTAAGTTCACTATATCTGAGCTCACAGAGTGAACTGTAATAAGCCTTACTAAACCAACCATTAATCTTCATCTCCCGTAAGCGTAGTAATGAACTCATAAAAAGAAAAAGTAAGCTCTACAAGCAATCGTGAATTTTTCTTTTGTTTGTTCATGGCTAAAGACTTGACACAACATTGACTTGTGACTCAAGAAAAATATAATTGATATCCAATAATCTTTTTTCTATACATTTTAGTTTATAGTTTACAATAGAGAACTTGACATTTTTTAAAATTTGTATTTTTTATTTGTTTTGGCAGGAGGTTCTTAATTAGATGTTCATTAAAAATTGTTAACATTGTGAAATAATCAATCAGAAAATTCGTTTGCATTGCAAATAGAGGGTCTAATGATTGACTAGAGATCTGTTGGGGTAAATCAATGCTCATTGGTCTACATCAATCCATATCAGCCTGTAACTAGGTACCCCAAAAGAAAAGCAAGGAGAAGAGTCATCAAGAACAGGGTGTGATAATAAGGCCTCTCTCTTTCTCTCCCCCTTAACTTGGTGGTTCCTGAGCAGTGCTCAATGAAGAGAGAGGTCAGTGAGTAGCTACTGAGAGAAGGGCAAAAGGCAAGTCTCCAGCACCTTACGGAGGGAGCCCTCAGCTAAAAGAAGGAAAACCCGGAGAGAAAACCATGGGCGGAGAGAGCTCGGAAGGCAGACACCCATCTCTCTAAGCGAGTAAACCCAACAAAAATAAACTTTTTGCCTTGCAAGAGGGGAGGGATCCCCAAAGGCTAGAGGACTTTGGGGGTGGGGACACAAAACCTGGTCCTTGAAGAGTTGGGAATGACAACCTCATCCTGGAAAACAAAAGCTGTTGAGAATCGCATAATGGAGCCTTGGATAAGAAACTGGAAACAACTCAACATGAATCAAGGTTTACAAATTGGGAACTTTGAATGGAAGGACCCTTAGGTTACTTGAATCACATGAAAAAACTTATGCAGACCCTTAAGACATATAATGACCAGATTATTGTACTGCACGACATGATGGCAAGGACAGGGAGTTAGAAGAAAGAAAGAATGAATGTACCATCTTGCACAATGGAAGTACAAACGTACAGTTTTGTGTAGGTTTCTTTGTTATGGGAAGCCTGGCATTTGCTATGATTGACTTTAAGGCAGTAGATAAAAGACTGTTTATATTACGAATGAGGGAAAGCACTTTTAATATTACTATCCTAAATTTGAACGCACCGATTGAAGTGAAAGATGTGAAGTGAAGGGCAGAACAGATTCTATAATAAATTAGAAAGAATATATGATGATACACCTAAATACAGAATAGTAACAGTAATAATTTATTCAGGTAGTTAACAATACCAGTACTTAAAAATATATATGTACATATACTGTAGCGGTACAGAATTATTCAGATAAATTCTATTGAGTAAAGCAGACCTAAGGAATTTTGTACTGAAGAAAAAACAGTACATTCACGCGGCAGCCCTTTCTTGCAACGGCCAGGTCCCCTGACCATTTCGAGGTTTATGCCCCCACCCAACAACGAACAAAAGGGTCAAACTCTAAGGCGCCCCAGCGAGCCCAACCTGAATACTTCTCTCATGACGCCTGTCATCGTATCGGGGAATCCAAGGCAATAATTCACGTTAGCTTGGAAGGCTACCTCAGGCAATTGGACTTACTTTCGAACAGAGAACGGAAAAATGTCTATCTTCCGCGGAGCCCTTGGCAAGATTATGTGTACAACCCATCACCTCTTTAGCCTAATTAGCGAAGCGATTTTTTTCAGCGAGCATGGAAATATGAGGAAAAGGTGGTGGGAGATATAGTTATTCCTCGTGCCGTGTAGCGAGAAAACAAGTTACATTAGGAGAGAAAGACTTCTCTGAGGGTGGGGCGCTTTCACGGTCGCGGGGAGAGACGCGAGTGCGCTCACGAAGACACTTTGTCTAAAGCTACTATTCTAAGGGACAGAGAAACTTCTACTGCGTGTGGAGCCGGACCGGACGCGAGAAGGTGGGTGCACTCTAGGACTGGCATCTCACTGTGTAAGTATTCCCTCAAGAGGAAGTGCAAAGGCACTTACGCTCTGGCATAGGCGAATACTTTTTGCCTCTCATTAGCTACAAAATTCGGCATCGCTGAAATTTGTTCGAGAGAACCTGCAGACGCTTCGAGAACAATCGTACCTTGAGGCTAATTGCTCCGCACTTCTCTTATTAATTATATAGATGCCGGTCACAATACACCCGGTACATTTACGACTCCGCCGAAGCACCTCCAGACGCCCCTTCCGTCTGACATCACGGACCGCCGCAACGCCGCAGCCGCGCCACACGCCACTGGAAAGGGACATCCCGGCCGCCCACCAGCCACCACAGCTGCCTCGTGCTCGCAAGGGCCTACTGAGCACATTTGTCACGGAGGGTTACAGGCAACGTAATCAGGGTCAATAAGCCCTTAGGTAGGCTATTGTTAAAGCGGTGCCGCGCTTTAGAATTAATTTTTGTTACCACTCTTCTTTTGTTTGTAAGTGTGTTTCTGAATTCTTAATCTTTTATTTTATTTTATTCACCATTTTCTTCTCTCATCGATTGTAAACTTCCCTGTACAGCGCCTGTCCAGGGAATAAACATTGTCTCTTTACCAGTAACCAAATTGTTTGTTTTGAATGCCCATGCATGCCTTTCGCCTTACATGCCTTCCATCACTGAATCATATGAGTAAGGGAGTAGGACCGACTGAGCTAGAACCAGGCCGCTAACCGCGCGCGTTTTCCTACGCAGCGCGCGTTGGTTGTTACAATACAATAATCAATATACAAATCATTTAAGAATTTTTGTGTATAAAAATACCTCGCAAGGCAATAAAACCTGAAAAATTATGTAAAACTATTAATAGGCGACTATAATGCACAAATAAGCAAAGAAGAAGGATATCAGCCAGCAACAGGACAAGAAAGTCTTTATAGCAAAAGTAATTATAATGGGCTAAAACAAAACAATGTACAGGCATGAGGATCTGCAGAACGCACTTTCCTCACAAAGATATAAATAAAGCCACATGCTGGGTGATGAATGAAAATGGAAGTCTGTGCAGGGTCAAATTGACCATGTATTAATGGATGAACAAGCATCAGACATAAAGACGCAGTTTCCGACCAGCTTATAATGTCTTATGATAATAATCCAATATCAACAGAAAATACAAGTAAATAAAGAAGGCAAGGATAATAAAAGAAAAAGTTTGATGTAGAAAAATTGATGGAGAAAGAAATGGAAAAGAAATACAGAACAGAATTGGAGCGGAGCCTGCAAGATAATGAGCTATCTACAGGTCACCAGAACAGCTTTCTAGGAATTTAAGAAATAAACAAGAAAAATGTTATGCAAATGATGGATGGATTCCGATGGAAAAATTGAAATACTTAGTTGATCCAAAGAAATCAGAAATTTCCATCACAGAATCAAAACAGATGGGATTTCAACCAAAAGTGGGGTATATAAGGAACAAAAAGGGATATCTTTTAGATGGTAAAGATGAATCAAAAGGAAACAAGGAAGAAATACTTCAGTACATTACTGAACGAGAAAGAAGATAACTTGATAATAAATGAAATGAGACCAGAAAAAGAAAGTGAAGATTCATAGCAGAAGCTTAAATATGAAAGATACAAGGACAGAAGCATCCACAGAAACATCTACAGTAAAGTATCTACAGTAAAGCATCTACAGTAAAAGTAGCTATTAAGTTAATAAAAAATATAAAATAACAGTGAAATAATAGCCTTATGTTGAGAATATGGAAAAGAAAGATAGTAAGGAGGATTTTTGGTCCTAAAAAGAAGGGTGATGCATAAAATTAGAAAAAATGTAAGATGTAGAACAAATTTATAATGCCCTAAATTACAATAGGTGTAAAAATTAAGAGCATAATTTAATTTTACACTAAAATGAGATTGTTCACTAGCACATCACAAGGTAGAGATAAACTGGCACCGTTTGACCACATTTCAATTAACTCATGTGAGCCTTAAGTTCTCTTGTGTCCCTTCTACCTCAAATGGGCCTGAAAATGGCCACAGTACAGTTCTACAAGACAATAAATGAAAATTTTATTTTCCTCCTCTTGAATGTTCGATCTATTCAATAATTACAATTCTTGCAGTCCTATTATCTATTATTAGTTAAAAAATTAAAGGAGTAAAGATTAAAATGATAGGATTTAATCTATTTAAATTATTTAAACAATACTATCATAAATGTCTTTAAATACTTCGCAATTACAACTGCTAGTTGTTTGAATGTGAACCTTCAAAATAGATAATCTATACCAGTGCTATATACAGCGTAATCTCTTTTCCTTATGTCTAATGATCTCACTTACCTGACGCATTCTGTATCCTATGTAGCTTTTGAAGCCGAATCCCAATGTTACTACTGGATAACCAATGCTGAAACACATTACATTGAACTAGATTAGGGTCGTGTATCTTACAAGTGTAGGACATCAAACACAAAGTACATTTATCTCTTGTACATATTTAATCTTTTACATATCTATTTACAAAACAAGTATTGTAAGATATTTTATTACAACAGACTGGAAAATTATTGAACAAGGTTGAAGAGACAAGTTGTTGCATTTGGTTATCAGTCAATTGGTCCACAAGTAAATGTTCACTTCTTTCAAGGTCCAAAACTGTTTTGGTCAAGTTATTTATATGTCCATTACAGAAATGTTCAGTAGAATACACTGTCCACGTAATTAATGCTCAGAGGAATGATATGGATATCCCTTTCAGAACACCTCCAACACATTGCATTTCCATTTTTATTTCAGGAATGGAATTACTCACAAGAATTTTCATCGTCTTCTGTAAAAAAAATGTAAGTTGCCACCACGAATTACCTTTAAAATTGATTTTAATCGCGAAAACCTCCTGTGAAAATATAAACTGCTAATTTCATGGTGGTTTTTTACAATTTAAAAAAAGGAGGATGGTGGTAGCGTAATTCTGGCTTTGGGTTCATTGAGTCAACACACACAGAAATACGAGTCAGGCCTTTGGGTATGACAACTTTTGGCTTCGGTAGAATATAATACTACAATTCGTATTCACATGTAGTTATCGCGATTTAAAAAGTCTGGAGGGAGGTGGCACAATTCTGACTTTGGATTCTGTGCATCGACATATGTAGAGAAACATGTGTCAAGTCTTTGGCTCTAACAACTTCTCCTTTGTGTGCCTGTGAAATATTATAATTTGAATTTTAATTCTCCTTTCCATAAAATAAACTTTATATATTTTAAAATAATTATAATTGCATTATTTATTGTATAGGAAATTATTTTGGCAGAGAAGAAAATGATAATCATATTTCCTCATAAGAGGTCCACCAGTTCAAAGTTAAGCAACATACCAGTGCGCAGCGAATGGCCTGCAGAGATCTAAATGGAAGGGCATATGACGAAGATCCCTTAGCCGAACTGCAGCTTCTATGTACACGAACAGTAGCCACAAGATGACAGTGGGAAGGCAAATGCCTTTTTCTGAAACACATCAAAATGCATTGTAAAGATTTTCTACATACTGCTCAACAGCACACCTCTTATATTGCACTGGCTCCAAAATTAGCTGCACTTTAAGCTATATTTTAATATTAATGCTTACACAAAAAGGATTTAATTTGCATTGATACAAAAGTATCGAATGTTGATAACCAACTGTGAAAAATTGATATGCGGCTTAGATTTCTGCCCTTACAAACATTGAACTACACTGGTTATGATTTAGATTTATTTTGTAAAAATTGTATATGACTTATAGGGGAGAAGATTATCTGTGCACGTTTTCTTGAGTTCCAGAATCCCTTCCCGTCATTTTAACTATAAATGGTTGAAAAAAAGTGAAAATTAAAAACAAATTAATGAATTAGTAATATTTCATAGATTCCGAGATTAGCAATATTTGAAAAAAAATAGACATTTTAGTTTCCAAGTTATATAAAATTTATTTGCATTGGTAAACGAATTGTAATGATAATGTAACAAATTGATAATGGCTATCAGCATTTATAACAAAAACATCAGATCCAATTATTCACAAAGCTCACTTAACATTTCTTAATGTCTTAATGGCTACAATGACCTCCAATATAGTGACGGAATGACCTTAGTAGCTAGATTTCTTGGGATCTAATTGATGATAAGATCTTGTATATAAGCCCAGTAATGTAGACAAAGCAACGTGGTACAATCATTCCTAAAATATTATAAATAGACTTGCACATGTTATTACAAACAGAATTATTAAATATATTTTGGAAGAGATGTCCCAAGAAACCAAGTTGGGAATACATAATATGACATAAAAACCAATACTCTATGTATGGATCAGAAATATGGGCAATGAAAAGTAGAGATTGTCAAAAATTAGAAAGCACACAGATGAGATTCCGATATCACCTTTAAAGACTGAAAAAAAAAAGTTTTAATGGATTTCGGACCTAGGCCATAATTAATTGATAATCAAGTAGAAATGTTTATCTTCTGCTTAACAATTCCTGCATCTGCTATGTATTTACAGAGTTGCAATAATGATAGGCATTTACAAAGTAGAAGCTAATTACCAGTTAATTGTTTGAACCAACTACGACAAATGGGGAAAAACCTGCATAATGACCAAGGGTATGTATCCTTCATAGAACTGACAGTCTTGGCAGTTTCAGTAGTGAAGCAACTAGGAGATCCATATTCAATGCCTGGTAGAGTTAGTAAATTCATTGATCATATCAACCATTATTTGTAATAATAAGAAGCAGAAGAATAGCTAATGTCTGTCCTTCAATGATATACATCTGAGTATTACATGAAATTCTCATGGGGAAGATCTCTTGTAGAAATATCCTCATCATAATTGATATTTATGAATGAATGATGAAAAAAATATTTGCACATCATTTCCGAAGTTGTGAACTGTTACCATCAGCATTAATTGATTTTGCATACCATTTCAATTGGGCAGAAAGAATATTAATAGCTCAAAATTGTAAATGAATAGTAGCAGAAATAATAAAATGGTGTTTTAGAAATCGTAAAAGAAACCATACATTCGCGGTACTATTACAGTGTGAATCGTCTATATTTAAAATTCATTTATCACATACACAATTCCATAAAAGCACTCATTTTAGACTTGAAATTAGTCTCGATTAGACTTTGTTGCACCTCCCCTATAATTTAAAATCCTGAACATAATACAGAGTTTTCGCAAGGCTTCTTAATCTTCTGCACATACACTGATGTACTGAAGTGAAAGTCAAACTGCGCATGTGCATAAAATATTGCTGTCATTAGCTATAACGCTTTGATGTACGGAAACTAATAATTTTACAAGGCAAACTGTCATTCAGTCTTCATAATAATTCCTCCCAAACCACATTGTTGAGAGTTGCCTTTTACCCTCTGACACATCACATAAAGCTAACAGTTCAAAATACTGGTTGAAATTTCTACATTAAGACTTTCCAAATTAGATCAAAACAACAGCAGGGTTAAGAACTTGTAATGTAAAAGCTATATCTATATTTCTAGATTATCATACATGTGCTTTTTGAAACTCTTACCTGTGTGCCATACATACTGCACCCATACATATGTACTGGCTGCAAAAAACAGCCAATGTACAGGAATAAAAAAGAAGCAGATCATATCGGATGTTAATGCTATACAAATAAAAAATACAGAAAAGGCCTGAAAAACAAAACAACACATTAATACTTCTTTCATTACTCAAGAAAAGAAATATGTTAACCAGAAATCTTGGTAACTTTATCATATTATTCAATATAATAATATTACAAATATATAGAAATTTCAAGCTAGCTAAGGGATCTAGTTCACTTTCTGATCACAACCAGTAAGAAATTAAAATGCAAATGAATTATAAGAATCATTTGCAAGTAATAAAGATTTCCTTGATACTTTGTATAAAAAATATCTACTGCAAAGCTACATGCAAAAGATACTTACCAAGCCTTGATACTTAAAAGAATCGTAAACACTTCGAAGAAGTAGCCAAAATGGCCAAAGGAATTCAAAACGGAATTCCAGAATGAAGTCAGCTAGCAACACAAACGCCCATAATATGAGAAATTTCAAGTAGAGTAAGGTGCTGTAAAAAAACAAAGAATTTGTTACCTTCCTTTAAAGGGTGTCAACACACACAAGAAAATGTACTCTAAACATCCTTGTTGTCATTAAGGAAACAAATGCAATGGTTTGAATATTAAAGCACTAAAATATAGGAGACAATTCGGGGCATACACAGAAAATTTGACAGATGTATTTAAAGAGCAATGTTGACACACAATAAAAACGGATTTTAGGACTTTCACGTCCATGGTTTTATGTTTAAAAGACAGCTTGAATATCAGAATAGAAAAGTACGCAAATGAGTTGACGTTCAATGCATCGAAAATGTCAAAAATTGGGAAAAAATACATTTATTTACAAAAGCCAAGGCAAGGGTGCAGTCCATCTCGTTACAACGCGTTCATCTTGGGAACAGCCTACTGTTATCCACAAGACAAAATAAACTCGCAATCATGCTATTTACAAACTAAGCAGAGCATATTAATTCGCTTGTTTTTAATTTATTTTTAAGTCAGCCATTTTGATAAACATATGGCGACGGCTCTCACCTTCCGTAAATTCCTTCGGTGATTTTGTTTCGCTTTAACGGCCTCCGGAGCTTGCCACATTCGGCATTTCTTCTCTTCATATTCCTTGAAGCTTTCACCACCTTAATGTAACGTTACTTTACCACTTCAACACAGCAGAATTCAACTTATCTTCGATATTCGGAACACTTAGCCTGTCTCTTTTGTTGTCATCCGTCTGAAGCATTGCCGGCTGAATCGTCTGAGCGCCGAACGATCCAATGGGCAGAGGAATCGGCTATGCAACGCGGTGCGCGCCTGGAGCAATTGGCCAGCGCGGGGCGCAAGGCTGCTGTGGCCGCTGGGCCCACCAGTACCACCAACACCACAACGTGTGGGTCTTCGGTGGCGTTGTCCGAGGTCCAAGGGATGTTGCGCATATAAGGTCGTAAGGCAGCAAGTGTGCTCAAAACGTGGGTGAAGTGGTCCGTGGTGATTCCATAAAGTTGTGACGTTGACACTTGGTAATAAGGGAAATCAGTTCATGTTAGGTTGTTTGGTGAAACATGCAAACATCTGTAAATTTTGTACTGTATATTATACATAATACCGTGCCCTTCAATGCCAAGTCACAGAGTGAGTTATTTCAATTTTCTCGAAATTTTTGACTGACTGGTAATGTTCCGGGAAGGGCATTGTATCAGTCTAAAATGCTGTTTGTGATATTTCTTACTGTCTTTTTTTCTTTATTATTCGAACTGCCAGTGTTTTTTATAATTATTTGCCTCTATTCCTATCAGGTCACTCGTGAGACCCTAGATGGTCAAGTACATTACCCAGATAAATTACCGCATCGCCGAGGCTGTAGGTCAACCTGTATGGCGTTAATTGTGATTGGTATCATTGTTGCCGCGTGTCTTGGAGGTACGTTGCAAAGGTTATGCATTTTTGCAAATTTTGTGTAATATTTTTTGGGAGGGAGGGGGGATTATGCTTGCAAATGTTAAAAAAATCATTGTATTTTATTTTACAGATATGGAAAAAACCGGTGACCCTGTTTCTTTTTGTAAGTAACAGTCAAATAATGTTTATGAATGAAGAAATGCATAATTATTAATTTTTATTGTGAATTTTAGAATCAATGTAAAAATTCTGCTGTTTTATCTTTGCTTATGCTTGTAATTTTTTCCACTGTCATGTACTGTTCTATAAGAATCAAATACAGAATTTGAAAACAAAAACATTCTGCAAAGGAATCTTTTCCATCCTGGAACAGAAATCATCTACCACTGAAGAAAATTGCAGACTTCTGAAAAATCTTTAAACCTTAGGATATCCGAGATATATTATTTCCCATCTTTTGCATCTGATAATTCTACATTTTTAATAGTATCTCCTGCTAAAAGTAAAGGATACATTTGTGCCTTGATATGGTGAATATATACAATTTTGGATGAAGGATCTTCAGTCCCATAGTTTTGAAAAAAGTCAACAAACCTGTTACTGTGTTATGTGATAACTATTGTCATAGCATAAACTTAAGTAATGTACTTGAATTCTGAGTCGAAGTAGTTCATAATTTTCCATTGCTTTATGTTATATTTAGTCATCTTTATTGAAAATTAAAGAAGGGGAAAAAATTTAAACTTTTAATGAGTTTCTGTATAAGTTATTATTAGAAATATTATAGGATGATATCTTGTTATTAAATAAATAAAAGATAGAGGACCATTTGTGTTAGCATGAAAGTTGAGTCGCTGTGAAATGTTCTCATGATTGTGTATATGATGATGCTCCAAAAAATATCCGATTTATAATTTTAGGGGATTTAAGATTTGCTATGTCTTCTGTAATTTGGTAACGTTTTTCAAACACTTCTTTTCCCATTCGTGCTTTCAGAATTGTACCTAGAGCATTTACTATATGAAAGTAAAGAGCGGCTATCACTGGTTGAATATTCTCAATTGAATGTGTTCTGGGTTCTCTTAGGTGGGGTCTTTTTGTTTGAAAATGATATATTTGGATTATTTTTAAAATGAATTAAATTCTTCACCATCAACAATGCCCTTGGTTTGGGAATGATTTTCCTGGCCTACTAGTAGTTAATGAAACGATAATCCTTCATGTGTTGAAGTGTTCGTGCTGGGGCATGTTCTCAGTCTTGTCTGTATTGTCTGTCTTATTTCTGTCTCTATTCTGTTATATTTTCTGATTTTGTTTGTTTTTAATTTTTTCATTTTGAACTTGGCTCTTGTTATTACTGTTAAAACTACTCTTAAGGGGAGAGGGTACCAAATATACCATCCATGTTAAGTTTACGACTGTTGAAGTAACTTTTTTGATATTTCACACATTTGAAGAATAAAGCTATGTTTTTATTGTGACATTTTTTTGATTTGATTAAAAAATATTTAGTACTTTTTCTCAATTATAACTTTTACCCAATTGTTTCAGCATATTTGGACAAACATATTTTTAATTATTGAAGAATGTTTGTATAAAAATGTCAATTTATTGCCAATACTATAAATAATGTATTCTGTAAGTTTCGAGGAATTGTGAAAAATAGTTTCTGAGGAAAGGCTCCTTATAAGTAAGGAAAGGCTCCTAAATAAGTACATTTTCAGGAATCGCCATTTGAAAAATTCTGTATTTGCCGCTGCTCTACTAAAACATTCCTGTTTCGTATTCTGGATCGTTTTCTTCAGCTGAAAAGACAAATGCTACCAATACATGAATTAGAGTGTGTCTCAGTAACTCATTAACAACCCAACATGCGTTCAGAATTATAAAAAACTAGCTGTACTTTATGAAGTGTCAAAAATGAGAAGGTGGATCATGTGCACTAGGACATTTAAATAAAAATTAAAGGGATTTTCAGGTATCCTAGAAGAATAACATTTATGTATTAGCAAAGAACAAGGTTTCATCTATTTATTTAGCCAAAAAATCGATAATTTGACCCATTTCATGGTACAGTCTCCCCATAAACTGTAAACTAAAATGTTTCTGGAACAAATTAGTACAGTATCATTGAATGACAATCGTGTTCTATGAGTAATCAAAATAATAACTAATAATCCTTTGAAAACAAACACCATAGATTTTGGTCTCTTAGAAGTGGGAAATGCAAATATAAGTTGATATAAATCTCCACCGTGATTGTTTTACATTTTTTACAATTGTATTTCTAATTAAAAAACATGATGATCATCATCATCATCTTACATTCTCTTTGTAATTATTACTTTATATTATAGTAATGAATGTGAATTATTATAAACACAAGTATAAATAGCATTAACAGTAATAATTATATCAGCTTATAATAGCAGTTAGAATTTAGGAAATAAAATTGTCACAGCTCAATTTGCAAACATACAATTCTGCCTCAGAGTTTACACAAGTTTCACATGAGCTTGATAGCTAGGCCGAATTCAGTCCCTTTGTGGAGGAGAATCTTAGCGACCGGCTGCTCTGATCGGTAGTTTTAAATGGTTTCTCTGACCACCAGATGGATGCCAGAGCAAAAGCCTAACAAATGGGCCACGGACCGCACATAATTTTACCTGTCTTGTCCTATCCTCACTTCTTACATACACTTACACTTACATTCAGTACACTCCTGCACATACCAGGAGACTGGTCGGGAGTTTAGAGCTTGTCCCGGCTAGGGTGGTCCCCTGCTGGTGGGAGATACGACCACCCTCTTGACAAAAGCATGCACTACACCTATGGAACTAATGACCCTAGTAGTTGACGTGCCCAGAATCACTAATAATCAATCAATGAATCGTCCTCTACTCTGTAATTTCAAAAGTTTCTCTAATCACAGAATTTTTTAATGAAACTTGAAGTGTCTATTATACTTTAATTACTCTATCATGAAGTACATAGTCTTCCTAGCAACTTCGGTTTTAACATTTAAAAGTTCAAACTCCCTCAAAAAAAGTGTTCCTCATCACAACACATCCGCCTCGCCGGGCTTTGTTCCGTTTCCTCTGTTTTTATCGCAACACTGCTTCTCATGTATCTATCCACTGTTTTCTGATGCAACACAGTTTTATTTTAAACACATTCCTTCTTCATGACTTTTCTGCCACTTATCACTTGTTTATCTACACCCTGCACTTTCTTTCACTATTTTGATACTGTATTGTTTATTGTAAATGGCTTCTTAATCTTCACTTCGTCCAAATGTTTTGTGAATGTGGTAGGTCTGTCCTTTATATACTTACAACCTCCTATTCCCTTCCGACATTGTCTTATACGTGTATTTGTGTATAGTTTTCTTCTACTTGATGTCTTTAATATCGTGGCTCCCTTGTTATATTTATGAATTGAAATTATTTACGGTATTCAATTTTGTGGTGAATATAGCTTATCTCAATACAATACATTAATAGTAAATTATATTACCTTTATTATACCTGAAATAACTTCCAATTACAGTGAAAGGTTTTTGTAACCGATACATTTAAAACATTTTCTCTGTGTCAGATCTGTTAAACATATACCACTATGTTGGTGCGCTCTAATTTTCATCTAGTAATGTAGGTCAAAATTTTTGGTGATTGTTTTGTTTTCATATATTTATTGACTCTTCATCCAAAACAGTAATGAGATTCACCAATTGGCATGTCACAAAATGACATGTGTTTTGTTTGAGATACTAAAATTGAAAATAAAATCTTAATTTGTATACCTTTAAAAAGATCTGCTCTCTTGTTAATCTTCAAAAAAGTGCAAGTGTGGATCACTTCTTTTCTAAATGATCAAGAATGAATGAAGGAAGACATATCCTCAGTGGAAAGCAATGTATGTTGCAGTGGTGATTCTGGGGTGTGTCATCTCCATCCAGATGGTGTTTGAGCTCCTCTGGAGGGCCACCTACTACGTGGAGGAGTGGTGTCATGTCAAGAGTCGACACAAGGGCAGCCATTGGCATTTGCTCAACAAGTTGCTCCTGAAGAACTTCTGGGCCACTTGGGTCTACGTAGCTGGATGCATCATCTTCATTAGTGTAAGCACACTTTGCAACTTCATACAGATTTGTTAAATAATTTGTGGTGCTACAACAGCACATATGTCCTTGCATTATTTTTAAATTTGCAATTTTTGAAAATTCAGAGTCCAGTCATTCTTTAAATTGTCTCTTATTCTGTCTGTAGCAAAAATTTAGAAAATAATAATAATATTGTTATTATTGTTATTATTATTATTATTATTATTATTATTGGTTATTATATTTTACTTCCTTTTTATGTTTCTTTGTATTGTTTTGAATTTAGTTCTTCTTCGATGTGGTTCCTCCTTTAAAAATTTATGATGCTATAATTATTACTGTATCTATGTGTGTATTATGCAAATACCCATTTAAATATATAAATCATTATTGTTTTAGGTAATTTTTGTGCAGAATTGTGATATTCAGGATCATTTATGGAAGGTTTCCTCCTCCTTGCAGCAAGTTTTTGGAATATTGTGTGTTAGCGATTTTCTCAAACGAATAGTTAACTTGGTAAGTCTTAGAATTTAAAATAAATCATAATAGTTCAACTAAAAACTATATGTGAGAATGATTTACTTAAGATAAACAATATTGAGGGGTCTAATAAAAAGAAGACTAAATAGAATTTTATTTTAATTTAATGTGTTTGTATCTTGGATAATTGATTTTATATTAACTGCTTTAACTTAGCGATTAGTACTTTTGCTTTGGAAAATGAATACAGTTGTTTCACAATTTCTTTGAAAACTAGTAATATTAATTTCCAAAACTTACAACTGTATCAAATAAGACTTTCTCAAAAGTATTTTAAAAATCCTTTGTTTTTTGGTGATGAGTATCTAGTTTTTCATTGAATATATATTGAATTTCATTGAATAATTGAATATAAGTAAATAATAAGATATTTATACAAACTTGTTTGTATTTTATGATTTTTAAGGCTCCCAAGTTTGCTTTATATTTGAATGAAGAGTTTTAAAACATTTATGACTCAGATTATTGTTTCCATTTATTAATTTCTTTATTAATTCATTTAAATATGTATTTATGTACAATAATTTAGCAGTTAATTTGAATTTTAAAAGAAATATAAAAGTTTGAATGATTTTGCTTTTTAATTTTAAACATATTTGGTTCATTTAAACATATATTAAAACAAGGATCTGTCTCGCTTAACATATTCAATATTCTCTGGATTGTAATGTTACCGATTGTCTTTGTTTGTAGAGTAAGAATCCTGTATCTGACTCTGTGTTTCTGGAAAAATTGAAACTTTTAGATTATGGGAGTGGAATGGCCCAAAATTTCTTCTACGGTTACCTTCGAATTATCCTTCCTAACACAGGAGATGAAGGGAAAGGTTTGTATGAGTGCATACTAGCTTCAGACATTTGGCAGATCTGAGCACTGCTCCTGTCTCAAATATCTGTGAAATATGAACATATAAAAGTAAATCTGATACCCAAAAGTTATTTTTGTATGTTTGCATATGTATTTTCCACAAATCTTTCATCCAAGAAAAAAACTTGTGTGCAATGGGGGGGGGTGGGGGTGGTTTGAGGATGTTTTATTTATTTTATTTATACATTTAAAAGGGTAAAACATTTTGAATTGCTACACTCTACACACATCTCACTTTACGTTTTCTATGTATGAAATGTTAATCCCCTTAACAAAACTTGGTTAAAAGCAATCTACAATGCTACTAGGTGTAACGCCGGGTAACCAGCTTCTATCACAAAAAATACAATGTAGGTAGTTATAATGTTCAAGCTCTTAGGTTTAAATCCTACCAATAGAATTCTTTCCAAACCCATTCATTTCAAGTGGAACCTGGAGATCTTGGAATTTGTCTGTGGAAACTTGTTTTATTCTTTTAAATTTTATTTTCCTCAAACTTTAAATTCACAAACTCAAAGTTTAAATACATTTTTTTGTCTTCCTTTGTTCCGTTCTCAAAACTCTGATCTTTTGTAATCAGGACAAAGCTAACACGATATACAATTTTGTACATATTTTGTTCTATATTACACACTTTATACATTTGCAAAGCTCATGGTCAAAGCTATTGTTTATATTCTTTGTCAATATTATTTTTATCAAATCATGAATGTGCAAAGATTTTGTTATGTGATTAATTTGTGTGCAAGATATTGTAGAGAACTGTGAAGGGAAGTTGATGAACGCAATCTTTATTTGAAAAGAGATCAATGCATGTAGACTCTTTTGTATACTTGTTTTGTGATGGTGCTACTGCCCCAGTCAGGTCAAGTGTTTTTCTCTTGGCCTAATGACACGGGGAGGGACAATTCGTGACTTTATAAATTTATTATAATACTTACTGTAATAGTACTCACACTTATTATAATAGTACACTATAAAATTATTTTAATATGTTTAAGTAATCAGAAATGCTTGAATATTTGTGTTGGATTGTGTGCTCTATAGGAATAATAGAAAGGATTGATGACTTCATATCCCAACAGAGGCTTTCTGAAGACAGTTTCCCTGTTAAGAAGCTATTCATTCTGATTCCGTCATCATCATACTTGCCAAATGATTTGAAAGATTGTTCTTTTGACTGGATGAAAAGTGCTGGTGTAAGTATTAGATACTCTTTTGTAGTGGAAAGCAAAGGGAGAATACTATATTTGAATAGAAATATTTTGGAAGTTGTGAGAACGTGAAAGAAAATGTAATTCTTTTCCCCTCCTGTAATTATATAATTTCTTCTTTCAGACTTTGGAGAAGAAGATCAGAGATCGTGCAGGGGTAATAAGCAGACCTTATAAGAACTCTGTGTATCGAATCAAAAATCCAGATGATGACAATGATAAAGGAATTTATGTTGTTGCTGAAGGAGCTACCCCATGCAAAACATTGCATGAGGTTGTGCAGTATAGTGGAGAAAGGCAGGGTATGTATTTTTCAAAATATATCTTACAGGTTGGCATATTAGAAAAACACTCTGGAGCGAGGACCCCTCTTTGTTAATTGTTCTTACTTTATTTAATCCTGCATTCGTTCAGTGTCTTCATGTAAAGTCAGTGGTTCAGTGAGGTTTGGTAACCCCCATGATTCTCATTAATTATTCAAATATTTACTGGCAGTTGTTTGAGAACATGTGTAACAACTAACAAAATATATTTTAAATCAGTCTACTGACAAGAAACATGATGAATATTTAGTTAAATAAAAAAATTTAGAAAAGAGCAATATAAAAGTTCAGTTTTGATGTATCGTTGTCTTCATGAAAATTGTTTGAAATAAAAAAAATCTACCAATTTGCACAGCAACATGAATAATGAGAATTTGTTGCAAATATTATGATACACATGCAACATATTTCATGATTCAAGTAATGTTAGTGATACTGCTGCCTGTACATGCAAAAAAGATTAGTTAATGAAAAATGGTAAGTAGGAAAACCCTGAGAATTTCAATTTGGTTGTGGACTTTCAAACTTGTCACTCTGTTTGTAAATAGCCAGTACAGTTCGAATCCAAAAACGAGGTAATTAACATTTTTTGGCTTGGTTGATAAAATAGGTATTTATGCAGTAAATACAATATATTGTTCCTGTAATATTGTAGTCATCACACATAGTATGTAAGTTTTTTTTCATTGCTTTTGAGTGTGTATCAAAAGCGTAAAATTGGCATTTGCCTAAAAGCCCTATGTCTAGAATAATGATGATCAAATTGTACATTTCTAGATAGCCTGTAGTAGAAGTAGTTATTTCAGTGCACACAAAAGTTAAATTTTTAGCACTTGTGCTGAATGTGAGACAATGCTGAAAAGTTCTGCTAAATATGTGAATGAAATAAAGGAAACAAAATACTTTACTCTGACTGCATAAACTACTATTGATGTCAATGTATCATTAACTGATGTGTATGCTTGAATTAAAATAAAATGAAAGTCAGTAAGGATGTCTTAAAATAGTGTATGCTACACGTGGTAAAAATCCTTAGTTCTTAGGATTGTGCCACTTCACCTATCAACAATGTGTTGCAACCTATCCTAGTTGCAAAATAAATGTCACTTTTAATCATTTGAATCTTCAACTACTCCAAGCAGTAGTGCTAATAAACTATAAAATCTTCTTTTATTTTGTTCAACTTTGTTTTGCAGATTTTGTCATCTAAGTAATTGCATCTCAAAAACTTCATTAAAGTATGGTCTTCAATTCTTAATTTTCGTATAAGGTTGCTGTTGCAAAGTGAACAATATCTACTTGACTGCCCAGGAGATACAAAATGAGGCACTTCACTCTGAGGAAGGTCACAGCATGATGCCTGAAGTGCTGGAGACTGTGCGTAAGACATGGCATCTCCCGAGCAGCCAAGTAGATACTGACTCTAGCCAAGGAAGCTTAAGCTTTCAAGTGTTTGATGGTTTCTTTTAATGTCGAAAGTTAAATTTTCATTAACTTTAAGACATTGCTCTTTGGTAATAAAATACAAGTGTTAATTCAATTTACACCTGTCTGTTAACCAGTGGAGTATTTATTCCAATGTGTATTTTGATTTTGTGTTCCAGAGTTCTATAAAGAACATCAAAAAGAAATAATCTTCAGTTTCTTTGAAACGTTGCGAGAAACCTTACGAGAAGACAGGGACTGTAGAGGTCTTTGTGAATTTGTTTACTATGATGGTGAGTTCATTATTTTTACTTACTATTGCAAGAAATCATATTCAACAAATAATGGCTTCTATCATGGTTTCCTAAAAAAAATGTTTTTCCCTGCTTGCTTTCTAAGGGACTAAAATTCATTACTGTTGTTGTTTACAAAATATGCAAAGCAAATTTTAAACTCCAATTTGGATATTCTTTTACTGTGATTGATGTGTTGTAGGTAGTCATTATTTCATTTAACTTATTTATTTATCCTGTTTGTATACAATAAATAAATCTAATTCTTTGTTTCTATTTATTGAATATTAGGCTGATGTAAATTCAATTGCAGAATTATTTGAATTTCAAGTATGGTATTTCGATATGGTATTTCCAAGTGTTGTATTAATAATAATAATAATTATTATTATTATTATTATTATTATTATTATTATTATTAATATTATATAATGTATTAAATGAGGATTATTTCAAGAACACGTTTGTAGAACAAAATGTTAAAATTGGTGACAATTAGCTTTTTCAGTGCTGCTATATTTTAATGCTGGAATACAAGGTCTGTTCCAAAAGGACTGCTTCACATTTCACACATGCTACTGTAAGTTTGGAGAGCAGCGAGACTGGTTTGAATAGGGTAAGGGGATCTTTCCAGCTGTTCCAAACACTGTTGCCTCCATGACCTGGAGAGATTAGAACGTGTGAGTTTGTGAGCTCCTGTGTAGTAGTCATATCATACTCACCCTGGAAAAATATTTGAATCAGAGATATCTGATCAAATTTTGCATGAAGCTGAACAAGATGTGGGTAGACGCTTTTGAGTTGTTTCATCTTAATTGTTTGGACAGAGTTATCACCAGGGATTAGACCCTTAGAGTATGACGTAAATATAAAGGAGCAGAGTGCGAGTGACCCTCCTCGACTTCTCCCCTCCCCAAGGCTCCCATTAACACATCACACGTGAAAGTCATGGTCATTGCATTTTTTGACTCAAAGGGGATAGTGCACAAGGAGTTCGTACCTCTTGAACACCCTGTAAATGCCTAGTTCTACAAACAAGGGCTCCAGAGACTCAACAACAGGGTCACCGGTGTCTGAAAGGACATCAGCACTTCATGGAAGCTTCACCATGACAACAGGCTGGCCCTACCACACATTGGTGTGGAAATGCTTCCACAACCACCCTATAACCTCGACCTTACGCGACATGCCTATTTTTGTTCCCTCGTCTGAAAAGAGTCATGAAAGCATCACATTTCAAGACAAGACAACATCGAAGCAAATTTGAGAGCTGTAAAGGACTTCCTAGGAGCATAAGAGGCATGGAAATTATGCTGGCAAAAATGTATGAACGCACAAGAAATATACTTTGAAGAATGTTAAGTTTTAAACCTATCTGATTAATAATTTTTTTTTTTTAAATGCAACGCATTACTTTTTGGAGGTACCTTCTAAGTATAGTTTTTATACAATCTCTTTTCTGTATTTGTTAATACATTACCTTTAGTGTAAGCTATTTTACTTCCTTTTATATTTTCAGTTCTATGATATTCACATTATGTTTAAATGGTAACCACATTATTCTATACTAACTACTGAAGACGAGGGTTGCCTTTTATATTTCAGGATTAGAGAACAAAAACAAATATTAATAATTGAAAATCACTTTATTGTTTTTCAAAATATTCCCCATGAAGATCTAAACACTTTTGCATGTGTTTGAACCAATTGTCGAAGCACTTTTGCCACTCTGATTGAGGTATCACCAAAACGTGCATTCTGAATGCAGCAACTGCTTCTTCAGGTGTCGAAAAACGTTGACCTCTCAGTTTGTTTTTTACTTACGGGAATAAAAAGAAGTCATTTGGTGCCAAGTCAGGACTCTACCGTGAATGACTCATCAAATCGATGTTTTGGGTGCTGAAAAATGCAGTTGTTTGAGCCCGATGTGTGAGAGCTTGCATTGTCATGGTGAAGAGTGATCTGTCTTCAGCGGTTGGTTTTCCTGATTTTTTGGAAGACAGCTGGCAAACACATCGTTGTGTGCCACTCAGAATCAGGGGGGATTAATATTTGTGTCGCCTGTAGGCACATCAAATTTGCTGCCCCCTGTTTAAAATTAATGTTACATTTCAAATTGTAATGTTTCAGTAACAATTCCTCATTAATTTGAATGTTCTAACTTTAAAAGTAACATTACATTTTGCACATTGTTTTCATAAATTAAATACATTTTTTGGATTAGCTAATTTTGGATATAAACTGTATCGTCATAGCAAGTAACGTACAACATTATTAACATTTCAACGTTAACATATACAGGATACTAAAACATGACAACTAGAATTGCAACATGTTTTCTTTCGTCAACGGGCCTTACTTTCGGATTCATATACTTCTGAAATTATAAGGTATACTTTAATGGAGTAGACAAATAAATAGCTTGTATTAAATATTAATATGATAGATTTTTATTTACAACAACTGAACGATTAGAATATTATGATGTAACTGTTTTTGTAACAGTTTTTATAATTTTCGATTTACCATTATAAACAAGGAATATAACATTTAACTTTTTGGATGGGTTTTTTTATATAGTTGAAATAACATTTTGTTAATTATAGCTAATTTGATGTGAAATTTTGCGACGTGCCTTTTGGTGAGCAAATTCATCAATAATTATAGTATAATCTAAAACGCTGAGTTAATTTTCTTCAATACACAATATCACTAAGGAGTTCAGTCGATACTCTGTCATTATAGAATGCAAATAATTTTTAATCCTTTTCAAACAAGCGAATGAACGTTCTGCTGTGCAATTGGCCACCAGAATACATAAAAAGATTCGAAGTGCAATGTCAACGTTAGGATAAATACATTCTAATTCTTCTTTCCGTAACCACTTTAACAAAGCTGCAGGATTTGTTGGCTTAGCATCTTTGTCAAGGATTTTTAAATATGAACTTAAAGAATCGCTTGTTTCTGAGCTTATACATTTAAGATCTTGGGGAAATTGTGTATATAAAAATATCGCTGCTTTTTCCAAATCTATCAAAGATAATTTTTCTATTTCAATGACAGCCTTAAATTTGTCATATACATCTTTATACGCTTCAAGTCTCTTATTCAATTCTGCAAGTAATTTATCAACAATAACCAAAAAAGTGTCGATTTTAAACTTGTCTCGTGCGGTCAGTTCTGCTGCATTCTCGTTAGTTTCATCACATTTTACATTTCCTTTTTCTTTTGTTTTCCGATTCATACGTTCCAGTATTTGACAGCTTCTTACCCTTCTCTTCAAAAAATTCAAAATTGTCTCTGTTCGTTTTTAAAAGTTCTACAAGCGAAATGTAAATACCAACCATGGAACTTAAATTGATATCGACTTTTTGCAGTTGTTTGTTCGATGCATTCAAGCAGTCTAAAATGAATCCCCAAACCTCGGTCATAATAGCAGTTTCAAGTCGATTTAAAGCAACAATAAGACCTTTAGCTTCTGCATGCGTTGACGGTTTTTGCGTAGAATCATCAGATATAATTTGAAGGGCATCTAAAACATTTTGCCAACTATGTTTTAGAGCTTGACATGCATCATCTCGAGCTGACCAGCACGTAATAGAAAGATGTTTCAAAGAGGATGTACTGGATCCTTCATCTACTAAGTTTTGAAGTATGTCCTACCTTGATGTAGGTGCACTAAAGAAATTATATAAAATTTGTAGAAGTAGAAAATAAGTACATGTTTCAGTGCATGATTCAGCTGCATTTGTACCAACTAAATTTAAAGAATGAGCAGAACAGGGGATGAATTCAATTAGAGCATTTACATCTTTCATACGGGCTTGAAGACCTGTGTAAAGACCAGACATATTTGACACATCGTAGGACTGTCCACGACAATTATTAATGTCCAGTTCATTAATCTCCAGCAAATTACATACAGCGTCAAACATCTCCTTTGATTTATGGCCTGTGTGTGGAAGGAATTCCAAAAATGACTCTTTTGGTGTACCATCTTTTCCCACATGTCTAATAACTATATAAGAATATTTTAGCAACACAACTCTGCATTAAAAATATATTAATGTTAACATTTATTTATCATAAGTTATTAGTACGTGGAAAAAATATACAAGCTGAAAACTAAATATGTTATCTAATCTATGTTTATACTAACTCGGTAATAGAATTGTCGAATGAACTGCAGCAGTGCTCAGTTTCACATATAGATTTAAAAATTTTTTTGGTCAATTTCATTTTGACATTTCTTTTCTTTTCGGATTTTTGCTTATTGACTTCCGCTGAGACCTTTTCGATAATCACTCGTTTTAAAACTTCAAAATATCATTTTTACTCAGCAGGCTCTTACAATAAATGATACACAACAATAGTAACAAAAGAAAGAAAAGGGTTATTTCCAGATCCGTCTTCTAGAACTAACTCGAGAAGTAATAGATGTCGCTACTTTCTATATAGCGCAATATGAATGCATGGCGAAATCTGTCAGCGATTTCTGATTGGTTAATTCAATCTCCTTACTCCAAGAATGTAATTCTTTCTGCTCAATCAACTAATCAGAAGTCGTTGGCGAATCCTTTTCATGTATTTGTAACATTGAAAATGTCCCCATTTGAAATTCAAACTTAATTTATATATGAAAGGTTGAGGGGGCGGCTTTAATCTCGTTTAAATCGTTTTTAAAATAAATTTTATTATTATTATTATTATTATTATTATTTATTTATTTATTTTTACTAGGCTGTCCGGGTGACGCCACGTCCAGGGCGTAATGCCGCAGGCATTGAAAATTTTATCAAGTGATCAATTCAATTGATGTATGAAATTCTATGATCGGTGTAGAAAAATCTTACTTAATCACGGGAAAAAATATCGATTTGTGATGTTTCATGAGACTTGCTCACTATTAGTTAAAAAAAAACCTTTTTATTGTTTGAAAAAATCTACATACTAAATATTATATTGAAACACAATTTGTATATGTAAGCCTAGGCTTTTGCGACACGAGTTACAATATACTCGGCTGTCTGAGAGTGGCTACATACTAGGTACAGATGCCGTCATTCTGCAATCTTCCTCAGGGCAAAATGCACGGTGGGCTCCACATGGGTTAGAGATAGGCAATAGAACCTATGTGACCTTGTTCAGGGTTAAAATGCAGATGTTGGCTGCACATTGGTTAGACAAGCAATAGAACCTATGTGACCTTCCTCAAACAAAATGCATGGAGGTGGGCTCGACATCCCCTGGCCAATCAAGTCTCTACGATTGGCGTGTTTGTGGACTCCCCGGTGCAAATGAGTGAGCCAATGCTAGCACCAGTGCTCCCACTTTCTGACTAAATTAAAATAAGGCTAACGAGATCTACCTTACAAGAATTTTGGGGTGTAACCAAATTTTAGGTAACATTTCAGAAATCTTTCTTTACTCCTTTAGAATTTGTTTTGATAAAAAAAAAATTTTAGAATCTTATTTGAGATATGGTTAACTTTGAAACCACATATTCCAATTTTGGTTATTAGTAGACATCTGCCTTTTTTCACTTCTTTTACATACCTCCTTTTACTTAAAATTAATGACATACATTTTCCATTACTTTATGGTATTACAAGAACTACATTTATAGTACTCAAAATACCTATTTGTCTATTAATAATTCCATTTTCGAATTTTTAAATTATTTTACCTATTTAATTTGCAAGATTTTACATCATCTCAAGGAATGACAATTGTGTTGTTTTTATGCTCAGAATATCACAACAAGCAGTTTTAACACTTCTTGACTCTAGTTATTGTCTTGAATTACAATTGCGCTTACTGAGACAGGTTTATTTCTTAAAAATATTTTCAGATTGGGCATTAACCTTGATCGGAGGCACCACAAAATGTTATCAACCGTTACGTATTCCTGTTTAATCAGTCTGCCAGTTTTATTGACAGTAGACCTTGCTAAGTTCTAGGATGCTGAAAATTTATCTTAAAACCATAAAAGTACTCTTGTTGAACTTGGTGAAATGATATTGATTGGTTTTCAATAGTAGTGCATGACCTTCTTTGTTCAACCATGCTTTAGAACAGACAAGCAGCATAATTTCCATTAAATCTTGGCAATGAATAGTAATTGTAGAGCACTGTCAATTGCATTTTTGTAATATGTGCACTATGTTTCTCATGGCTTCCAGTTTTCTTGTAAAAAAAAAAAAAACAACGACAACTTGCAGTTGCTAACTTCAAAGTGACAATGTAACGACTTGAAGTTAAATAATGCTATTGTAAAAATTTATTTTCATGTCAATTTGTATTGCTTTTTTAAAAAAATTATTATGCCTTCTTTCGCCTTTCAAAAACATTCTCAGACCCATAAATTGAGAGGTTTTAGAGCTTAAAAATCTAAAATTTACTCATTTATCTTCGTTATAATATCAAAAACTATTAATACATTGTGTATATTATTAGTTACTTTGGTGTATCTTGAATATGTGACCTTTAAATGGTTATGAAATCTTTGTGGATTTGTCAATTTTCTGGAAAAATGTCAACGAATATTTACAAAGTATCTTCAACAAAATCTACTGTTTGAATGTGTATTTTCCTTCATTTCTTTTCTTCTCCCTTTGTTCTTCATTTTTAGTTTGTTCCTATAATTTATTTCTTTACTGCTTTTTGTTTCATTACTACATCTTTATTGGGTGTCGATTAAACATTTGTTTTTTTTTTTTTATTTCTCGTCGAAGAATGACCACTACACTGGAAATGTGGTATTGGAGATTTTATTGTAATTGTTTCAGGTACTGATGAATTTGGACTCGGCAACATCAGTGTGAGCAAGTTGATTCTTCAAAAAATTAATGAAATTAAAGCAAGGGGGGAGTTCTTGGCAACAGAGAAATACGAACCACAATTTTTTTCTCTCCTTTTATTTTGTTTCACGCTTTCTTTTATTCTATCTTTCTTTCTTTTTTCTTCATTTGTTGTTTATAATCATTAATGTATTAGTTTCAATGTCTTCAATACAATTAGTCTTTGTGCTTAGCTTGTTATTTGGTTACTTTAGAAAAGTAGTTTGCAGCTTATTTCTTCCTATTATTATTATTATTATTATTATTATTATTATTATTATTATTATTATTATTATTATTATTTTCTTTTCTTTCTTTCTTTCTTTCTTTCTTTTCTTTTCCGTTTTCTTTTTTAAAATTCTTATTTTTTATTGGCTTCATCTTTGTCTTCTTCTTCTTCTTACCCTCCTTACCCTTCTAGTTCTTATGTTCCTTCTTTTCCTTTTCCTTCTAATTTCTCCTCCTCTTTTTCCTTCTAATTCTTCTCATTCATTGAAATTAGATATAACTGATGCTATTTTCATTGAGTTGCAAACAACCTGAATCTCTTCAACAGGATTTTCAGAAGGATTTTTCTTCTTCTGAAATCCATGCTGTATAGACTTTTTGAAGTAAACAAATATTCTTGACTCCAGTAGATTTTTAACTGCAGGGAGTGATGAGTATCGTAGGCAGGTTGATTTTGTGGAGGAAGACAAAAGAATCTGACAGGCAACAGGCTGCAAAGAAGCTGTATCTATGAATACAAACTAAAATAGGCTTGAGAGAGGTATGTATTCAAACACATTGGTAGTTAATATTGTAATAGAATATTTAGACTCTTCAAATAATACAGTGAATGAAAGATTATAATAGGAATATACGATTAATATATTGGATTGCTTTACGTTTCATGTTGCCCTGATGGATAAAATTCCCTTATAATAATTCTCTGTTGTTGAAAGAGACTGTGAAAATGATTCTGCCACAATTTAATTAATACAAATGCTTATATATTTAATTAATTAAATTAAACAAGTTTTTGCATGTTTTCTGTGAATGCAATGTAAATCCATAATTTTTGTAGCAAATTGAAACACATGAATAAGGATATTTTTTTTTTAATACCATTTTTCCTAAAATTTCCCTTTTCCCCCCCTGTTGATTTTACTTCAATAAATCAAAAACAAAAACGTATAGCCAATAAAAGAAGTGTAGTTTGCAAGCAATCTGAAAATGTGTTACTATTTATCCTGAGAAAAGAAATGAATGAAATGAAATGGTTTTTCAAATTAGACGTTTTGCGGCTTTGGCAATATAACAGTTATTTCCAACTTCTTGGGTCTCAATCAACCAGTCAAACGCAATCAAAGCTGTTGATTTTTAAGGGTGAAAAAAATCCCTTGGATGGTTAAGTAAGCCAGCTGTTCCATGTTGTAGATTCACTGTATATAAATGATCCTCAAGTCTAAAAGAAGCCTCTGAACAAAATTCAAATAACTAGTTGTTTTTCCCCCCCTAGAGATTCCTCCTTTCACTGCAGACAGTGAAAGGTGCGTAGCGTAATTTGCATCGTCAGGTGGCAGAGCAGACCTGGCCTCAGCTGCGCCCCAGAATGTAAGCCGGAATTAAATTGAATTGAAATCTTTATCATCTTGTCTTTCTCCTTCTTCCTCTTTTTTCTTCTCCTCTTCTCTTCTTCTTTTCTTCATGTTATAGCACTGAAGCCTAACCGATGTTGGTGAACGACATGCTCTTCCTTTGCTTCTGAAGCTGTGGCACACTGTAACTGCTTTCGTAGTGGCCCATGTTCACTCCCTTGAACTTCAAGACCCTTCTCTATCAACATTCATTTACACTCAGGGACACGGCCCTTTTGAGTGAGAACTGACAGGGAGTAAACCGGCTGAACAAGCAAGAGCTATTACATGCCTCTGGAGGTCAGATAAGAAGTTTTCTTTCTCATCCCTGGGCTGAAATACAGCAGGAAACCTTTCCTTGTATAATTAAAAGGTTAATGTTAGACAGTCATCCTTATATACCTGAAATCGATCTATTCAATGTTCCAATCAAGAACATTAGTGTTATTATCAAGAGGCATTTTTGTGTTCTAAGTGGAAGATGGCATTTAGGTTAGAAGTAAACAAGATCATGGTTCGAGAATGAAACTATTAACCTGTCTGCTGTGCTGACGGTGAGCTGAAGTTTTATTCGTGCACCTGTACTTATGCTTTTATAAGCTTTAATAAAATACATTTGCTTTTAACACTTTCATTCTTGATGAATAAACAGGGAGTTTTGCCAGTCAATAGGACAATATCTGGTAGTGGTGGCAGGAAATACTTCCTCCTAAAAATGAATGACCCATTTTCTTCAATTTGAAAAGATAATAAAATTTAAATAGGGTGTAATCGACCTAGTATATAACCAAAATGTTGGGTGAAGACCAGTGCAAAGATATCTTACATGTGGTAATCTGCCTAACCATTCAAGCTGTGGAATAAAGAAAAATGAAATTTCCCTCTATTTGTGCTTTGTGCCATTGCTTAACAAAGGAGACCCCATATCAACCATTGTGGAGACTCTTACTCAGTCAGCTTAGAAAGAGAGAGATGTACAAATAGCCTTATTTAATTCTGATGAATTAGTTTGTCTTGGAGAAGATGTGTAGTCACCCCCATCAGATTGGGAAACCATAAATTTCATGTGACGGCAATTTTAAAAGCAACTTTTAGACGTGTTATGCATTACTTGTTGGTATCAGATGTTTAATCATTGTGTTATGCATAACTTGCTGGTATCAAATGTTTTATCATTGAAGGGAAGGTAAAAGTTGCACGTTTTAATTGTTTCAGACACTGTCTCATCCAATCCAGCTGAGTTGATTCTTCAACGAATAGCTGCAATTCAACATTAACTATTATTGGGCTTGCAACTCGAGATTGTAGAACCATTAAATTTACTGTATCACCATAGATATCTTGCTATCTTTGCTCACTGTCTGAGCAGCTAATAATTTGTGTGACCAGTATTTGTAATATCTACCTTTAAATTTGTACTGTTGAGATGCAAGAGGCAACCCTGAAGGTATTAGCAGTACTGTAGAAGCACTTCAGCTTTAATTGCTCTCACTTTAGTTCAGTATATATTGTTAAAAATTAAGACTGTACAAAAACAATAAAGTAGTTTAAGCCAAAATAACATATCCAATTTTTTTTCCAATTTGCATTCAATAACATGCGACTTAACTGCATCTACATCCAACATTCATTGTGCAACAATAACCACTCTGTTGTTTTGAAGGTTAGAAATTGTGATTTCTGTTCTGGATGAGACATGTGATTGAAACAATTTGGCCAAAATATTTTTGGTGAAAAAATATATTTCAAAACAATATTTTATACAATTTATGTTGTTAAAACAGCTTGATTTTGATTATTTCACATTGCATTAGATGTAATATTTATCCAAAATATCTTTATCAGTTTTCATAATTTCATGTTCATCTTATTTCTTTTTTTAGAATGGACTTTCATCTACAAAAGTAGTATGAAAATTATAACTTTAGGCTGGTTGTTATTTTTGCAAGGTTGGAACTTATTTTATCATCTCTCATTATATTTAAATTTTAAAACAGCTAGATCCTTTTATGATTTTTGCTTCATCTTTTTTGTGATTCTGTGATCATTAATTTTGTTTGATCTTTTGCTCTTATTTTCATTCATTTCACAAACAAAACATTTTTGACATAACTGGTTTTGTTGTAATAATTTCAGTCCTTACAGCTAAAATTAATTATTCACATCTTAACACAATAATATTCATGCCAAATTGATTAAGATTTTCACCCTCATTGTAGCTTGGTAATAAGCCATTTTTCAATTTTGGTGCTATATTCACTTATAGTTTGTTTTATTCATTGCTGCTGTGACATGCTTTTAGAACAGGTTTTGTACAATACACATAAATATAATTAATCTTGTGTCTATGGAGTAAAAATCTAAAAGGTACTCTCAAAATCTGAAATGCTTAGTGGCATGGGTTAAAACTGTTATTACTCAGAAATTTCATATCACTTTCTTTTTTACTTTAAAAGTAATGAGAAGGGAATATTAAGAAATTCCAATCTCGCTAAATTAAAAACCACCACTACACACTATTATTCATCTATGTTGACAAGATAATGATGTTTGGACCTACAGTCTGTGTCTTGTTATTGTTTCAGATACAGACGAATTTGGTCTTAACAACGTAAATGTGGGGCGATTGCTCCTTCAGCGAATAGAAGAAATTCAAGCAACAGAAGAATTTTTGAGAGGTGTCCGTGATAGAAACATCTAAAATAAAAAAAAGTAATTAACTCTGTGCCTAAAGCAATGTGAAATATTGCTCTTTCAATAAACAAAGTAAATTATCAGGGATGCATTATGTCCAACTGTAATTCGCAAGGGATGTATGTAATCTGCAATTTTTTTATATACCATCTAAAGTTTTGTGCACAGTGTGGTGTGATTGCAAGAATAATTATATTAACAATTTTTCTTGCTGAATTTGAGGTATCGCTTTTTTGACTAGTCTCAGAACCTTACAGTTCTGCTGTTAATCATATTTTTTTTATTACCAGACAAGCTGACAACTCTAGAGCAGTGGCATAGTTCGAGGCAGTGTAAGCAATATTACTTGAAAATGTTCATTTAAAATTTTATAATTTTAATGTTTTACTTACATATTTCTAAAATGTAATGTTTTAATTACATTTTAATAATAAGAATAAGATTTTTATAAATTTTGGAAGTTATTGTCATGAGAGTGGCTGTAATATCTCCAGTAGAAATATATTTAAAAAATATACATGACTAGTGTTAAACTTTGTTACATGTTGGCATTTTCTCTAACAATCTATTTATTATAAGTAGGAAGTGCTTTTAACACACATTTTCATTTTTAATAGTATCAAATTATACAATATACATTTTTTTTTTATTTGATTGATGTGGAAGGGGGGTGGACCCTGTTAATATTGCCCTAAGCAACTCTTACTCTAGTTCTACCACTGTTCATGAGACAGATGAACTTCATGAAAGAGTTACCTGAACATATGACTGTCTAGATCTTGTTTGAAATTTCTGCTAATTAATGACTTGTCTTTACGTTATTCCGCCTTATTGAACAATTCAAATAAGTTGGATATTTATTTTTCCCCAATTTCCTTTCAAGTTTACTATTTTTTAAAATATATTTTTCAATAAATTGAATGAGACATTGATGTTTTCGTTCACTGCCATGGCAAATTGAAAAGTTTTGAGCTTATTAATAGTCTTAAAATATGATTAATTGATAGATACTTATTAGCTGTTTAAGGCTATGCCCACGTAATTCGTCTTTTTAGTATTCTGTGAGAGTGAAATTGCACATGCAAAGTTGAAATCTGTACAAGCATACAACTTCATGTGTGTGCTATCTTACCACAATGTGACTCGTTGCTATCACTGGATCTCATGGTTTATATTGCTTGTATTATATTTAAATATTCTGAGGAAAGTATTTGTAAGAATTAAACTTTGGAGAAACCTAGACCTGATGGAAGATTTATAATTTTGCTTTGAATGGTAAAGTATGTATTGTTTTTTGTGCAAAAGCAACAACATAACACTGAATGTTCTTCAGATTACATAACCTAATTCTGTAGTAATCAATAAATTGCTAGATATTATTTTTCTCTGAAGAGCTAACAAGTATAGCCTGTTTAGTGTTGCTTTCCACAAAATCCCTACATATACTCCAACACAGAACTGGTACAAAAAGTCCTTAAATTGGACTTCAGTATTGCGAAAGTAGATAGCAATTTAGTAATTTTTTAATATCAACTGGCAATACACCTAATTTAGTATGTATAATGCCAATGTTAAAACAAGCAAGATAAACTATTCATAATTTCTATTATGTCCTTTTAAGCAAATGTATAAGTATGATAATCTTATGGTGTATAAAATAGGTAATGGTAAGGTTTAGAAATGTATTTACATTCTTGCCCTCTGAAAGCCACACTACTTTGTCTTGGGAGAAAATGTGGCAAGACCTTGAAGACAGTATGATAGCCTTCATGTTTTGGCTGCATGAAATTTCCACCTTCTGTGAAAAGCAGTGTGCTTGTGCACATATTCATCCCACATATACCAAGTGTGTTATTGCACGCATTTCACTTGCATGTGAAATTGAATGAAAAGATGTATTGTGTAGTCATGGTCTTCAGCTATGAATCATTGAAGGGGGAAAAATTTCCCTAAATAATCCTGAAGAAGGTTGCAGTGTAACTGAAAAAGGTGGCGAACTTGCCAAGGATGCCACAGGTACATTCAACCAAGTTTTTTTGAAGGGGCATTAGGCCACATTATTGCAGTTACAAATGTAGCTCACATATTTGGCATCTCACATGTTGGCACATGTAAATCATTGAAAGGTAAAAAATAATTTGGGTGTTATCCAGACATTGATGAAAAAGGTAAAAAGGGAAAAGTCTACCATGACTGTATCATAATATGCCCATCTGTAATAACTCAAAATTGTTTATGATTTCACTCTGACCCCATTAGTTGTATGTTACTTTACAAACTTTCAAGATGCTGATGACTGAAGTTTTGAACCATTTTATGGCACAGAAATATAAAATTTACCAAAGAAAAATATATTTTTTGGTAAACAAAGTGTGGTTTGAAGCACAAATGCACTAATAATTCAACAGTAGCAGAACATTTCTCTGTTGCCTACTGAGAATGAAAAATGCATATTCTTTTATTCAGATTATTAATTATTGGTGTATATTAATCAGAACCTCCTCTTTGGACAGATGAAATGTGAATTAAATCAAGATCCATAAAATGTTTACCAAATTACCTTACTGAAGTATTTTCGAAAGAAATTTCATTGATATAGTTTCATGTTCTTTTCTGTGATAGTTTTAATCCATCTAAAAGATTAAATGTAAACATGTCGCTTAATCATTCAAATCCTAAATGGAGAATATCTTTACATTTGTTTTAATTCATGTGATTAAACCAATACAACATGGTGTTTTCCCTAAGCTTTGAGGATGAAGCATTCCATAGATTTAGGCTAATTTTTACAAAATGTTATTTTTCTAGTCATTCTCTTTTGCAGATGTTCTAAACTTGTTTGCAAATAATATATTTTCTTGTGTGTGTGAAAGATCAGATACGCTCTTCTAAATCATTCATTGAGTTATTTACTGCTGCCATGACAGTAAATTTGTATTTGAATGGACTTAACGATTAAAAAATGTATTGCATTGTGACCTGTCTCATCATACCTTTCTATCACTAGCAATAATTGTTTAAGACTGAAATTAATTGAAAATGAACAATGAAATTAGTTTCAAAGAAACATTCAGCATAAATAATTTACAACCATCTTTAGAAAATATTTTTAATGGGTTTTGGAGTTTTTCTTGCATCAGTTTGCCACCGTGGAATTTTTAGTCATCTGGCATGATTGTTGATCAATACTTTCCATGAATTTCATAAGCACTTTTTTGAATTGATTTCTTTCATTCAAAAATTAACTTCAGCAAAAACTTACTTTGAGTAAATATTCATTCATTAACAGTCTTACCTATGTATAGTTACTCCCATCGTGAAAGTTGCTCGCCTTTTTCCATCTAATACTAACATCATTTTATATAATCCAGTATTGATTCTGAAAGTCAAAGAAAAGGGTTGGGGAAAAAAAGATTAATTAAATCAGGGGCGGATCCAGAGATAAATTTTGGGAGGGAAAATTCAATATGTTTTTGTGAAATATGTATATTACAGTTTTTGTAAAACGTTGCAGGTTACACTCAGCTCATGCTGCAATATGATTTTATTTGTTTTAACGATAATCCATAAACATATTTTTGGTGGAGAGTTTCGTAACAACTTAAATTTAATAGTTACTGCATAATTATAGGGGGGGGGGGGATGTCTCTCATTCTCCCCCCCCCTCCCCCCCCCGGGATTTGCGCCTGGTTAAATAGAAATGTAAATATCATATTTGTAAGTGTCAAAAGATGTTTGTAGTTATATTGGTGAAAAAATTGAAAGATTGAAAATAATAATTTAATTCATTAAATCAATTAATGAGTGTAGTATTCATGAATTTTATGTGCGAAATTGAAGACTTATCTTTCAATGACTAATCTTGCGAGACCAGAAATGAATTTAATGACGGTAGTATTTTTTTCTTAATCAAGTTGTCTTTATCTTTCCCCGCCCTCTCAGGAACCTCCCCATCCCAACACATCATAAATCTTCGCAAGGTCCCAGGGCATTCTGCCCATTCACCCATCTCTCATGTTTTCATCAGTGCCGACGCTAGGCACGGACAGGCTGGGCAATCGCTCGGAGCCCCACAAGTCAAGGGGCCCAGTAACGGGAGAGATGGGAAAAATTAGTAAAAAAATTGAAAAAGAAATTGGAACTTCCGAAAATTGTTATTAAAATTTTATAAATCGCAATTCTGAAGTCTGATATTTCATCAAATTTCCAATTAATTTTTTACCTTAAATAGTTCATGATAGTAGCCAAGACAAGACTGACTCTATGAGATATCTTGAAACAAATTTTTGTAAAAGTATACATATTATACAATATTGGCCATATATTTTCATAATAACTCGTATAGTTTCTTGATACAGCTTTCATATTTGTTTGAGGTTCACCTAATTTTTTCGCCGTGGCTGGGGGACTATGTTTCAGTGTTGCCTTGAGCCCAAAATTGTTCTCGCACTTATTTTCATGCCACAGCATTTTCATGAAAAGTTTCTACCATGGTACTCAACTAGACTAAGTTGACATTTGGGGCTGTGATAAGTTTTTTTTCTGAAAATACCACTCCACGAGTAAAATTCAAGAGCAATAATGCATTTGTTTCAATTTGGATTGTGCAAAATGGCAGCTAGTCAAGTGAGAAAGCATTTATGTGTAGATACCAGAGTAATTTTCTAAATGGAAGTTTCTAGTTCTCTTAAGATTGTTTTGTATTATATGTGTACCTTTTAATTGTGATTGTTTTCTGTGCAATTTTTGGTTCACTATTGTTGAGCATGAATGTGGAAAAAGATTTATATGACACATTTAAAAATAATTTGTTTTGTAAACTAAGAGTTTTATGAGAAAAAAATACGGTGCATAGATGAATAATGTTTATCATTGGTACGATGTGATGTTAGACAAAAATATAACGTATAACAAAAAGGAAAATGTTGAATTTATCTTATTTATTCCCTGTGTTGGTGAGTGTGATAACCAACTGATCTCTACAGTACCCGAGTAGGGCATGCCGCAATTGTGTCATGCCAGTTGCTGAATGTCGAGCGCTTCAAATACGATGTCCAGACCCCCATCGAAACCGCGAGTTATGACTACTGCAAAGAACGACTGCCAAATAATTTTGTAATTCAACACGCGAGATTGAGTTACAGCATTTTTGCAATTGCTGAATGCATGAGGCTTTCACCTAAACGGGCGTAAATGAATATCGGAAGAGACAGACACTTGCCGCTCGTTGCTCCACTGCGCTTGAAAACTTCGAAGCGTTCGGGAATCAGAAGCTATTCTTGTCGCCCGCCTGCTTCGTTTTTCCAAGCTTCCTGGCAGTTGCTTTCCAAGGAATAAGTTAGAAAAGCATTATTATTTTAAATTTTGCAAAAGTGAGATTACCCCCCTTTGTTTTTTAATGTTTTGGCCCTACTAAAACTCTATATAGCATCTGAAGTATTGGGGGCCTTCTTGGACCTCGCAATATTTACTGTGTTTAGCCCACTACCAAAGTTAAAATTACACTAAATGTAAAAAATAATATTTCAGTAATAATTGTGAAGGAATTTAATGTGGAATTCATTGCAAAATGTTAAAATACAAATGCTACGATATGAGTTTCCCTTTAAATATAATATATAATTTTTTACATGTATTAAATGTAAAAATATGTACTATTCCAGGAAATGTGGATTTATCAAATATTTTCAAATTACTTCAAAAATCGTAATCCGTTAACGTATGGAAAAAAAATGAAACTAATAAACAAACGTAATTTAGTTGCGATTGGAGCCCCAAAAAACGGGATTACAGCTCCAACGAATGACAAAATTGTAATTTCCAAAATTCAGAACACTAATATAACACGTAAGCAATTCATGTAAATTAATTAAAACTAAGTTTACTAAAAGTTTATTCATCTACGTTTAATAAAAATAAATATTACGGAAACTTTACTTACATAGTTTTAGCCGCTGTGTCCATTTCAAGGATGTACTCCTCCTGCTACTAAACTGAACACTCCAGTATTTGTATTAGTTCTGCATTGAAACAATTGACGGTAATAGAATTCACACAAAACAAAAAGAACTATGTTTTGAAAATCCGGTGATCGCACTTCAGCACCTTGTTATCAGTACTACGTTTTTGGTCACGTTTTACGCTAATTAATTTCCTGATCTTAATTGTTATTGCTGATACTATAATGGTGATAATGAAATAAAATAATTTTATTTCGAAAATTTCATTGTTCTGGTGTATATTGAAATAGTAATGAATCGTCTTCACAACGACACGCTCGAAGACTCGCTGCCGGGAAGGTCACGGCGGTCACCGTGAAGCAAGTCATTGCGTACATAGAAAGGGGCTTCCTCCCAGAACGCCAACTTTACACACAAAGGGGCGAATCCAGAGATGGATTGGCGGTGGATTTGCATATATATATATATATATATATATATATATATATATATATATATATATATATATATATATATATATATATATGTGTGTGTGTGTGTGTGTGTGTGTGTGTGTGCATATAAAACAAAGATAATACATGTTATGAACAAGGTAAATTATTGAACAAGTTTTTTAAACAAAATATTTAGTTTAATATTTAATGAATACATTGTAGTTTCACAATAAAAATAGAAATAATTTGTGATTAAAATCGTTGAATTCAAAGTTCCAAACCGACGAAGAATTAGGGTATTATTATTTTTTTTTAATTCTATGATACAAATGTGAACAGATAGAATGATAGGGAGTTGTGCAACCTTGCAACCTAAGAACAAGCCGGCATAGATATAATTACATACAAACCAGCCTTGGTTACGATTAAGCTTGTACATAAACATAACATATATTCTTGTTCGTCTTAAAGAATTGAATCGGTGCTGTCTTTTGGAGCGGGCAAGACTGGAAATTTAGTTTTATATAATGCGCAAATGTTTCAATTACGTAGCGCATCCAGAGAGTAAATTCCCCTATTTTGTGAAATAAAAGCAGTTACATGCAAGACCCTTTTGGCAACAAGAACAGTAATGTTTGAGCATTTTTCGACATAGTCACCTCACGAATTGAGACCCTTCACATACCGTGGTATCAGGCGCGGATCCACAAGGGGGGGGGAGCCCCCCCCCCGCCATAAAAACTTTCAGTAACTATTAATTTTAACTTCTCTGGAAAGTTTTAAGTGACTGTGGTGCTGAAATGGCACGTACTTTCTCGCCCCTATTTTCACGTAAAAAGTACTCAAATGTTCAAAAAATTGGTTGCTTTACGGCCGGCACATGATTGATACGTAAAGGATCTGTTGCGCATGCACAATTTCCCCATCTAAATGCGTATACTTTTAAA